ACTCTTTTCTCAAGTCTATTTGATCAAAGACGTAGTACGCGAATAAAAGTTTAATTTGTACATGGCCTTTGTTTAAAGCCTAACATGCCACATCATGGCAGTACATCATAGGATTATTATACGATCAATTGTAGTGGAATGAAGCTGCCGTTTTTGGAAGAACCATAGCACAACAGCCGGCCAGTGCCAGTATCACGCATGCAACATTGCACAGCAGCCGGCCGGCACAGCAGCTGTTATACGTAGCTATGCAATACGAGCAGTGCGCTCGCCGCCTCTCAGAATAAAGGCCTATCACACGCCGCATAGCAAACTCAAGACCGTGTCATAGAAACGCGCCGCCAACGTCAACTCACACAACGCACTAGCTTACTCGCATGTAGTATCTGTTCTGTTTGCAGTTCACGCAATTGTTGCCTTTACGAGACAATACAGTATTTGTGTATACATTGCATAGCTAAATTATACTAAACAATGGTGTTTAGACTTCGCTAACGCATGATGTGGAATGAACAGGCTGACATGTGACCCCGAACGCTACACTCACAAACCCACATTCCATTGTCAGCCGTCGGCCGGTCGGTAGGTCGTCAGGCAAGCTGTCCTGCCAACCCCAGAGCGGCGTATCGTGGATACCGAATATGGGACACAGCCGGCAGCACCATCGGGCGGCACCTCAAGTTTTTTTTATTATTGCTAAGAGAAAAAACTTTGAAACTTCTAGCCTTGTGACCTTATGATGAGTTTAGGACTTCCTAGTCCCCGGTCACGCTGGTGCGCCGCCTTCGTCGTCCTCCGTCTCCGAGTCGGGACGGACGACGTATTAATGAAGTACAATGCTCCGAGTCGAGCATTGATATTGTGTTAACTATAGAGAAGTAGAGGTATATTCCTTGGTATTCTTTGCATTTAATGACATTCTAACTTAAAACCGGAATTAATAGAAGTAACATTCGATAAAAATTCATCAAGGAAACGAGCATAAAAATTGCCCAGTAGCAGAGCGCTGAAAAATTGAAAAACATGTATTATTGTTCCCAAGAACAAAACAAGCGAATTTCAACAGTTTCAATTTCCACTTTGATTTTAATATTGTTAAGAAATTACTAACGATGTGGGCAAATTCAAGTAATATATTCAAACGATAAAGCCTTACAACATTCATCATGACTTGTACGTTGAGCATTATCCATATAAAGAGCGGTCGTTCCAAAACGGCAGCGTCAACACAGAAAACAATATCCGTCAACAAGTCGATACCTAAAGTAGCATCAGGTTGACACTTGAGAGATGAGCTCGTATTATTCCTGGAGGGACACTGAAGGCAGGGCTATACGGCGCTATTGTCGACACCTTATTTCTGAAAGGTCAGATGAGGTGCCGACAGCGAATGCTTTACCAATGAATCCAGACATCTTACCACCACTTGATAAAACCTACCCGAGCAGACTAATTTTCAAGCATAAGCAACCAAAACAATAATATATTAATTAGGCAAAAATTTAATCAAAGCCCCGGAAAAAAGTAAGAGATAAATAAAAAAAAAACAGAAAGTATAATACCGGAAACCACACGAACGTGATCTCACAATATTAAATATACCGGTATTCGCGCAGGGTATCTCCACGACACTAAGCCTTCTCCAACGCTACCGTTGCCCGAACATGATGTGAGGGAAGCATATGAAGTCGATAAGAAGCCTGCCCTTTCTATGCCCTCAGCTCTGCCACGCAGGATTCTTCCCTCGGTCGGCTTGACCTCTCAATATACAAGACCTGCTAGATGACCTAGATTCACTCCAACCTTCCCCTCAATGCATTCCTAAGTAGGAGCTACATGGACACGCCTCCGAAGCTCCTATAATCACAAAACAAGAAGAAGATATTCCTTAGTAAGGGGCAGCAAGGCCAGATGCGCGCTTTCTTTCCTGGGCTCAGACAGGAAGATTTGGGCTCAGAGGCCACGCGTCCTCGCGCAAGCCGTCAATTATCGAACACGTTACTTGTACGCGCTATGCAACTGAATGAATGATAAACATATTAAGCACCATAATATATTGGTTACTTAGCGCCATAAAGAGTACTCGTCAACATTAGAATGCTCCATTATAGTCCACGACTCGCTGCATTTCTCGGCATGTTCACGTCATCAAGCAAAATATTCGATGACGTCAGCGTGAGTACCATCCGACCACTGACTGGGCCTTGAGCAGCAGCGGCGGCGGAGCGGCGCGCGCCTGCAGGAAACGCTTCTCCAACACCATCATATTGCGGCTCATAGTGAGCCTGTATCATGAGATGATGGTGAGCCTGTATCATGAGATGGTGAGCCTGTATCATGAGATGATGGTGAGCCTGTATCATGAGATGATGGTAAGATGATGGTGAGCCTTTATCATGAGATGATGGTGAGCCTGTATCATGAGATGATGGTGAGCCTGTATCATCAGATGATGGTGACTTATTGGTGAGCCAGCACAGTTGATAGTGATCCAGTAAAAACAGCAAAACGACAACCCAGTGCCAAAAGTTAATAGAGCAAGCTGTTATATAATTGTGAGCCAGTATGAATAGTGAATTGCAAAAGTTATGTTTTAAAAATAAACGTTATGTTGATATTTCATGAGAACAATACATAAATCACAAATTAAAATCACAGATAAACTAGTGACTACTCGGCGTATGAGCGTACAAACACGATTCAGTAAAACGAATGAAAACATGGAAGCCAATCTACACGTCTGCAGATATTCAGGATGTTTTAAACCGAAGTTTTTGGCAAAAGAGACATAATTGCGGTTGATGCATACCGCAGTCCAACCGCAAGCAACGTCAGGCAAAAATAGCTTCCTCTTTAATTAAGAGATGGAATGAATGAACAAGATCAACATCAATACAAATTAAAAGAAATGGTCGCACATTTAATAAAGATTTCTAATCTAAGGTCAGCTGATTTTGTAGAAATATTCATCAGAGATTGGCTCCACGAATGTGGGATTTAGCAATTCTTCTTGAATTATCTCGCGCATCTTCACGCGCCTCTCATTCATTGTCCTGGGATCTCTAATGCATACCAATGAGATAATCTACATCCATCCTCCGGTCGGTCAAGAACTGCCGAGAACTAGCTTGTATGTCGTCAGTAATCTCACTCTGACCTACCTATTCCAGAAGCGATACATTCTCCTATTCCAAGAAAATACAATCCGGGAAAATTTACACAGGCGATATAAAAAACAAATGTGATGCCAAGTGTAGCCACTTTCGCTTTCGCGTGATGAAGGCCAGCCGTAGAGATCTCGACGCAACCCACGCAACTTTTTCCTTCCAGGACACAGATTGTGCGTTTAATGATTCAAATTAATGGAGTCCTAAGGCCTAAGCTACTGTAATTATTCGAATTTACCTGTTTCTATGACTTTCGGAATGAATCAAACAGAATGCAAACGTTAGATGGATATTTTTGTTTTCCAAGCTTACTTCCAAGTTTGGAAGTAAGCAGAAGTTTAGTGAATACATAAAATATAAATCTCTTCAGCCAATAAATGAGGAGTCAAAGAAAAGTAATTACGCTGGACGAGTTACATCGCTATTCAAATGAATTATTGCAGTGAAAATGAAGCAACAAGAACAGCTCCTGCTGAATTACATGCACAAGCGTGGGGCTGTTATGTGCTGGCATGAGGGTTGGTGACACAGTGGACGGCGCGGGCGTAGTTGCCATGTCTCGCCAACCATAAAATTGCAGCGAGAATTGACGTATTTTCTAACTGAAAAATATTCAATTCGACATTTTTCCTTCAATCAAGAACGTGTAATTGGCTGTTAAATTCCACTATTGTCGGGTTCAGAGCCTAAGAGAGACTTAAGTTCTCACTAACGCGGAAAAGACGTTAAATAATTAGCCCGCTGATCGGAGTTGCCAGTCATGTCTTTAAGTTATGTTGGTGAAAAATATTAGTGAGAATTTTGGTAATTATCGTAACTAGACATATGAGCTAATCAGGATCCTTACAGCCACGAAACAGCCATTTCCTTGAGAGGCACTGGTGTATATAATCATTATATTGCAACAAGAGGGCCTAGTAGTAGTACCAGTACCAGAGAATTATAAAAACTATAAAAAATTAGTCAACATGAACATCCACTCAGCCTCAGGTCCTTAGGTCGTAAATCCATAACACATAGCACGTATTAGGAACTAGGAAGTATATTGCAGATAATGCAGAGCACGTATTAGCAGAGCTCAAGAAGATGGACGAGAAACTGACGGTAATCCAGCTTATATACAATGAAATCGAGTAATATGGGACAAACACAGGACTGTAAAAAGCTGTACATGATAAATGAAATATTTCGCAGAAATCTTTTAACTAAATGATTGAATTTCGTCTGAAATTCTGAATCAGTTCAGAAATTGTATTTTTCAAAATGGATAGTTCCAACTATAAAAAATAGACCAAGTAGGCTATCAGGTATATAGAAAATACTACCTTATCTCGATCATCGATGAATACCGTATCGTATCAGACTACCTATCAGCCAAGTTACAGCTTCATGCCTGTATACTAACTTACGCATCTAGACTCCACCCGTCTCCTAGAAATCCGAAAGTAGGTAGAACTGAAATAATTTTATAAAACCGCTTAGATTGGATATTCAAAGTATTGTATGCAGGTTTTTCATGTCGAAATAATTAACTAAGAAGACTGAAAATCCACCGCATTACCGTCTTCTAACTAGGTATAAACTTGGTAGTAGGTACTGAACGTTTGGTAGCTACAACAGCTGAACAGCACAGCCAACAAACAGCAAGTAAGGTCAACGCGTCTTGGGACTATCCGCAAGCTGCAGGTTGTGGGCTTGTGGCACACAAATCACAATGGCTTTCCATACTTTTTGAATAGTATTTATATTCATTAACTTCTAAATAATCACGAAAGATGAACAACTTTACAATGGTAAATACAGGAAGTGAATGCTCATTCGACCAAGACTTACCTCGCGCAGTTAGTGAAGGAATTCACGCGAGGAAATTAGAGAAAACTCATGTGTGATCGCCTCACTAAACCGCTACTGCGCTACACAACTGTCACAGTTTCCCTTCCTTATGCACTATCAAACATACTTTAATTCGTAATTCAAATCAGACGAATCAAATATTCGAAGTTCTTTCAGGAAATGTTCAGTTTTGTTTCCCAAAGAACGTGGGTTCACATGAGCTATGCCAAGTTTTATACGGAGCGGTTACGTGCGCACCCTCTCAAGTCTTCGATTACACTGATTCGGTGAGTTCGGTTACGCGACTTGCTCGACAGGCTCACAGTGACTGGAGTTCGAACTTCGCATCAACTCGGAGGAAATCCACATGACTCTTGGTCATGTGGCTGACTAATTGGCACTTGACGTAATGAATGGGAGAAATAATACCCGACAAAAAGTAATAGAATACACGTACTAATTCAATCGTTAGATTTATTACTTACTCTTTTAGTTAGATTTATTACTTAATAATACTCTAACCATTACGTGCTATATATTTCAATGGCACAACCGCACAAGTTCACACTATAAGTATAACATAATTCAGACACAACGTCCATGTAAATTATTTAACTGTCTTACATCAAATGCAACACAGCAGGAGCTAACAAATACTTGTAAGAAAAGTGTATTTTCTCGCTTTTTTTTAAAATCCACAATATAACTTATTTTTACGGGCAAATAAAACTGAGTATAATAGTGTAGTTGTAGAATAAAATTTTCATGGGTTTTCATTATCACGGAGGTCTGGAAGTGACTTGTCTCCAAGTTCTCGCCGATTGACTGAGCGGTTTCAATCATAAATAAATAAAAAAAAATCATCTAGCGCAAGTGCACTGCATTACAGTTATCCGATCTGTCGAGTTAAAATTGAGTTTAACTATTGGGAAACTCGTGAAAAAGGTCGATAAAATTTTTCCCGTTTAAAAATGAAACTAGGTTTCACCGAAGACTATTTCATGACCTCATTTGATATTCTGGGGACAATCTATGCTTTAATATATTAGGGAATTACTGCAGTGAAATTAGCGGCCTATAGATGATATATACAAAAAATTCAGATTTGTTATTACAATGATGAGTTTAAAGCAGCTTTTTGGAAGCAGAAATTGTTTGAAGACATAACTTCAGACCACATTTTGCATTGCAGACAACAGTCACGTTAAAAGCTTCCTGTGGCGTACTCAGTACACTTCAAGGCTGAGGCCACCTGGCCACTACGCTGCGGACTCTGAACCCCGGCAGATCTCGAGTCTCAGCTCATCATCTGGTATGTAGCTGTGCGTCTTGTTTAAACTTCCAATTAAACTTGTCGACCGAGACTACGAACGTATCTCGTCAGTCGTCAATGATTTGCTTGTCATATAAATGTATCACAAAATTGATATATTCTTATTCAGACTAGCACAGAACAATTATAACTAATTTATTTAATTTGCGATATTTTAATATCATCCTGCTACAATAAGTACTTATCGCTATTTGGGACAGCTATTTTCAGCTAGCGTTAGCGCCCTGATTGGCTAAGGCAGTATGAGGCCAGCCATGACGTCATCGATCCATGACATCACCACACCTACGTCACTGAATGGCTGACTCGCACCGCCTGGCGGCAGGCGATACCACGATGAGCCTCTTTCCTGTTCTTAGAATCACGCTTGTAGAGTTGTAGTTAAGTTTAGATTTGTAAAAATAAGCTCGCTAGTTTCGTTTAGGTTGCTTAAATCAACCTGTCAACGGAATGCGCTTGTCCTCAGAAATATATTTTGAAAATTTTAGAACATTTTTAATAGGCAATGTACGTGTGCTTTTATCCGAACATTACTCAGATTTAGTCAAATTAGCTTTCATTGCTTCAGGCATGCAAACAATGGTCTTGTGACGTCATGTAAGAGTGTTTCTTGCTACCTGACTGAGGTTATTTCCGTTTCGCATTCATAAAGGATTATCCTCAGTGACTGCCAGACTGCGTATTGGTCTAAAAACTGCATCATGGCGAGAAAAGGTCTAATGGAGGCTAGTAAATAGTTAAATCGTAACCAAGAACTGAGATTTTTTCGTCGTGAACAACGATTCCCAACGTTTTGTGGCATATTTTGCAAGAAATCATGACCCATTTTTAAATATAAAAAAATATTAATTGAATCCATATATCTCTTGAATTCGTCAAAAATGTAAAAAGTTATTTTTTAATGCAGAGTTATAGTTTATAGAACCTTAATGCACTGCATGATGGTCTTTGTGTAATACTTAACGGGGACAACGGTCCAACGGAAAATATTTTTCCGTAAATTTTTCTATTAGGAGCAAAGGAATAAATGAATTACTTCGTCTGTCCGCGATAAGACTTAGAATTATTTAATCCCTGTAATGTGTGACTCAGCTGATTTCAAGCTTGTACAAAGTAGTTTTATGATTAATTATTAAATATTGAAGTAAACTTCCAAGTATCAAGGAGAAATCGTCCACTCCAGAAATTTCGAGTTTGTAAGTAGAATTTGATTGCTGGTTACTTTAACAATTTACCACAAAGAAATTACATATAATTACATATAGAAGTGCTTTTCAGAACAGAAGGTTCACTGGGGGCAGAGTAGATGCCGATTTTCTTCACTCCCCTTCCCAAGGACGCTTCTACTTCCCAGTTCCCCCCAATGAAGCTACCCCCTCTCTTCCAACGACTCTACCACTCCCCTACCCCCAATAAGGTTGCCTCCCCTCCAGTGCGCTGGTACTACCCCCACCCCCAATGTCGCTCCCCCCAATAGCTTCTTCACTGATGGCCGCCCCGCTGACCACACCCTGCATCCGCTTTGGCATGCAGTAGTAGACTTACTGGCTGTGCCTAAGAATAGCCACGGGACAATAAAGAGTAACTATAATGTTTTTCTCTACAGGTAATTTATTGTAATTATTAATTATTCTTTTCAATTATGAATACTAACATCTCGTGTAACGAACGGCTGTAAACTAAATGAATGTTCCAATGAAGTCCACTGGAAAACACGATATGAATTTACCAACAGGTTAATTTCTTTATGAATTCTCTGTTAGAAAGGTAAGCAAACTAACTTATTCAGAATACCTATTAGACTAATTAGAGGAACAACAGAAAAAAATATTTTAAGCGTCTCGCGCTACTCGTGAAATCATCGAAATAACTAATTTATCGAATTTAGCTGACCTAAATTTTGTTAGCAAAAGATATATCCGCTGAAATGCATTTTCTTTCTACACACGTCGAATCTCTAGAAACCATAAAATTGTTTACATTTAAATGATTGTTTCAAGCCCATATTCCTCAGAAGTACATATCATATATAATCATACGAGTATTATCTAAATTACAGGGTCCACCAAAAAACCTCCCTGATTTCAATAGGCTTTTGAATGGCTTTGGAGGTACCCATAACTTACTTATACCCCTGTCTTCAATGTACTCAAGTTACTTTAATTATTCAATCAATTTTCATTGTTAAATTGCGCCTATCATTGTTTTGTCGATCATATATACTGACCTCATTATATAGGAACATATATATTGAATCCCTGCCAAATGCGTTTAACTCTCAAAATGGTATGTTACACATCGTTGATACACACCCACATAAATGAATGGGTCGATGTCTAAATAATGAGACACTTTCTTACCCACAGCTCGAGCAGAGAGCAGACGTAGCACTGATACGCCCTTTTAACGGACCAAACCAGGTTAGGATGACATACATACTGCAAAAAGCTCATTGCTATTCGGACATTGTCCCAGTTATTTTCCTGTGTGTATTTTCAAGTAGATTTCTTAAATTTTAATATCCACAACCTGCTTATTTGTTATTAACACCATCAGTGAAGTGAACTGCGCGCCATCGTCACACTTGAATCTTTTTCAGTGATCCGATTTAAACTCCCTGCCAAAAAATATACTCGAAAATTTTTTTTATAGTTATATAAACTTTAGCATTTGAAGTGCTGTATAGATTTGCCATTAAATTTTGATATAAGCAGATTTTGTTATAAGTAATTTTTGTTTGTTCCAACTGATTTACATGGGTACCTCAAAATATGATACGTCATGCATTATAGGGACCTGTCATCATGCATTCAAAATGGTTAGATCGATCGCAAACAATGAGACGAGGCTAAATGTTGCGTTATATCGCTCCCGGGTCCACCAAAACGGTCTGTGTTATAATTAGAAAATTAACAGGTGCTGAAAAAGTTTAGAGTCCATTTACCTACATGTGTGCTCTCTGGACTCTTCGAATAGAAATCAAGAAGTTCGATTACAATGAACAAGGTATTGTCTTGTCCATTGAAGAAAGGCGCTCAAGAATTAGCGGAGTTAACGGAAAGTTCAATGTATACAGTTTTACCAGTATAGCCGATGTTCTGTATATAGACTCATGTGTTGAGAAAGGCGAGTCCGCAACATTTGTGTGCATGCGAAGGTCAAACTCAGCCGTCACCACCATGACATTCACCATGAAATCTGTGAGTGCGTAACACGAGTGACGGGTTATAGATGTCGCATTGAGTGTAATTAAAGGTTTAAGTTGGCAAATGCCATGCCTTGAAGTCAGCTATCCATTCAAAATGCTAAATGACGTTATTGCTATTATTCATTTTGCTTGAACATTTGACACAAGCTAACGAGCCTTCCGAGGTATACATACTGATGATACCGTACCCTCAGGTACACTTGCTACAAAGAACTCGTCCTTTACTTTTCAAGAGTCCAAGTCAGAGGTTAATTTATGTTTTATTAGCAGGCACGGTTACAAACCCCTTTAGCTGCAGTTTGACATTTCAAACATCGATTTGTTTAGTGCGTCATACCGCGTGATGGTGAGACTAAAAGCGTCTCATGGATATTTTAGCTTGTCTGCCATGCTATATAATTCACCAGAACACAAAAGGCCTCTCCGTGCACCGCGAATAGCGTAAGAATAATAGTCTTACCGCCGTCCTATTCTTGGATCGGTCATGATCCATTCCCAGCGCGATTGGTTTTTTTCTCTGAGCGGCTTGGTGCGGACAGAGATGTCAGGCGTGCATTTTTAATGCACACCTCTTGGAACGATAGCAAGTGTGACAGCCTTTTGTGCCCGACGCTTGCGCTTTTTGTGCCCGGCGCCGGTGTCAGCGCTGTTTTTATGCAATATTGCGGTCTCTTACGTCCTCAAGTGCTTAGTTCCAATGGCGCGGACTCTACACTGTTTATTTATATTTTTTTATGTCCTAAGCGCCAAGAAATTGCAATAATTACACAAAATTAGCCAAAGCGATTAAGGTCAAATAGAAAATTTGTTTTCCTCTACACAAAATCAAACAGAATGCCAGCGACAACAAAATATGTTAGGTTGTTAAACAAGAAATTAAGTTGCTTTTCATCATCAAACAAAACAGAAAACAACTCAATGTCACGTGAATGTCTGCTGAGCCTCAAATCAATTATCTTTGTGTCCCGGCAATGTCCCATTGTCCTCCGTATTGAGTTTTTCTAACCTGTTCATTATGGCTCGCGCAAGCTACCGATGACAGGCTGCAATTCTAGAAATTCTGTTCTAAAGGACCTTTGGTCTGTCGTGAAATTGAGGTGCAGCCGACATCTTGACGTGCATTACAGCCATTTTTCACTTCGGCGATTGCAACGGAAGGTGCAAATAAAAACCTGAATTAGTAGGATGAACGTGCCACTTTTTCTTTGGTTGGCCTGAAGAAGTGAACTCATGCGTGTTGCTGAAACAGTACGTCCACATACGTTTAAAAGATCATAGCATAGGATTGAGCTCGGAGTTAAAAAAAAATTCGCAGGCATGAAGTAAAGCCTGACAATTCACTTAAGTGGATTACAGGCTAATGTTTGCAGGGCGTCCGTCAAGAAATGTTATGCAGCAGTTAATGGCTTTGCTCGGTCTGCGGTACAAAGATGAACAGAATAAATTAAGGCACGCGATTGACGTTAATTTACAGTTGTAAAACGATGCTAATCATCGACCGCTACAGTCGCAGCTCAATCAATAATGAAGGAGAGCGACTGCAGTGCCATTGATGACGGTTCCAAGTCGAGGACTAATTGATGATGTCTGCTCTATTGTGTAAACTTTTCCTGATTGATGATAAGACTCCATTAATTGATCAGCTCTCCAGGGCGTGGCATTGATCGAGGCGGTGGAGGTTGACTACGGTAATGCCAGGAGCTCTACTATGGTAACGAATGACCATGAATAGAAATGTCGTGTGTAGAACTATTCATTCACGTTGCGAACTTATTCATGCGTTCGCAACAATGAAAGAGCGAGAAAAGATAAATACAAGCTATAAACGTCAGATCAATGTATAAAGGATTTAGAGGATCGGCGTAATCCTAGGGTGCGGGCGATGCTCGGGTAATCCTACGGTAAGGGAAGTGCTCAGGTAATCCTACACTACGTGCGGCCAGGTAATCCTACGGTACGGGACGTGCTCGGGTAATCCTACGGTACGGGAATTCTCAGGTAATCCTACGGTCGCGCATAACTTGTACACGCGCTGCTGCTCAGGAGTATCTCTGGACAGGGAAACTAGGCCACCGCACGCCACATCGACCGCCACAGGATTGCCTTCCGCTAGGGCCATTAACGTGGCCTCCCCCACACAATAAGGAGGCCCGCGCCTCACCCTTCGTCGTGGTTATTAACGTGGTCTCCCCCATGCAATGAGGCTCGCGCCTCATTTTCCGTCGTGATCATTAACATGGCCTCCCCCACGCAATAAAAAGGCCCATAAAAGTTGGGAAATATCCTGTCATGCGATTTCGCGTCCGGAAGTTAGGCCAAGCTTCTCATGACAGGAGTTGTATGGAGGGCACATGTGATGACAGGAGTTGTACGGAGGGCACATGTGATGACAGGAGTTGTATGGAGGGCACATGTGATGACAGGAGTTGTACGGAGGGCACATGTGATGACATGAGTTTATCTGTACAAAGGTTTGTTGTAATTAGACGACTTTCTTGAAGAAACTCAATTGAATTGTTGACGTTGGTTATTCGATTAAGCTCATATATTAAGCTTGGCACCTGACGTTTGCAGGACGGTAATAAGCAGTAATATAAACTTGAATGAAAGCCAAACTGATTTAAACTGTATTAATAGTTAGTAAATATATATATCACAAAAGACCATACACGACAAAGGTGAATGAGTAGCGACTTAAGAAAAAACACCAAATTAGTCAACAACGGAGAAAATCATAGGCCTCTTCAAGGCAACTAAATGGAATTATTTATAAGTTTGAGGTGAACACTTCATTCATTAGAATTCAACATAGAAAATTCTTCAGCATTAGAATTTTATTCGCTCATATAGAAATAATATGAACTTTGGCAATCCATGGAATATCACTTAAAAAGTATAACCATTAATGTGAAAGAACACTAATATACAATGTGGTGCCTCTGTTCAAAATGTGCAACACTGCGAAACGGACAATACATAGGGCTTTAGGTTTAAAACTATGGCGTTATTAAATAATAAGGAATCTTCATAATGGCCGTGACATATGAAGCAGGGCAAAAAAAATCGTGATGGACAGCAGAAGGTTACAAAGAAAGTTTAGAGCGCGTCAACCGAGTTATGGAACATCGGAACATTTAGCACAGCACATCGCAATACCGTCGGAGTATCTCAGTCACAAAAATACAGGCAAATAAAAAAAACAATCCATAAATGTGCCAAGCGCTAGTTAGCTAAACAAAAAAGATGTGAAGAACGCAAACATAGATGCATACAACGTGAGTTAAAGGTGAAGTCTGAAATTTGGCGTATAATGGCCTTACCATTGACAATTTCCAACACTACTATAATATACAGAAATAAACTTAAAGTTTAACAATAAGATACTGAAAAAAACAGAATATCAGGCGGATATTCTCAGAACGTTGCAATTTCGTGGCATGAAAAGATGAATGCGAGGTGCTTTAGAAGCAACTTAGTAACGTGACTAGCAGGAGTCAGGACGAGGTAGCTCGCCAACTCGACTTAATATAACGTTTGTAATTTCCTGCTAAAAAAATAACAACTTAAAAAAAGCGCCAACATATATATATACACCTCCACTAATCTTTGGTCAATATACGCTAGCAATCAATGCGCAAACTAATTAAATAAAGAAACCTGCAATCACTCAGGCTCCACGCGGTGACTTTCATAGTTCATAGAATACTTGAAGAACCTCTTAGAGACAACAGACATTAGCATTAGAACATTTCACGCCTGTGAGACCAGGTCACACGCCCCTTCGAAGTTACAAGGCAATCTCATGTTGAGGATGTAGCGTTTAACTTGCTGAGCCATCGCTGGTTGTGGCCCGGTTAAGTAAAGATATATTTTCCGTGATAAATAAAAAGCTCAACTAATGATGTTACAGAACAATTTCAACTTAACATCACAGAAATAAAAAAAAATGTACCGGTACTCAACTTTTAGCATAAGCTATAGGAACATGAAGCAGATCGTAGCAATCTACAAACGTAATGAAGTGCATTGAATCAACATGGACATGAGACTTTGCAGTCCATGAAACAGGCGCCGGGGTGTCCCGAAACTGACAAGTTATCTAGCAATACAAGATCCCAAATGAATCGAATAAAGTTTGACTCCGTATTATAATAACAAGTTGCAATCAAAACGATTAATAGAAAGTAGTCACTAACGGCGATACGAGCAAGGCAGCAGAAACACGATTGTAGGCAATTGATCCGAAGCTCTAAAGGCCAGGACACAGCGCTGTCTTGACAGCGAGATACTCAACTTGAAACTGTCAGTGAAGATTTAGGCTGAAAAACTCAATAATCAAACTCTGGATGTAAAACTCTAATTCACGGGTCTCGTATTAGGTACCTCTTTTATGGTAGAAAGCTTAGAGACATGACAAACATCGGTAGAAATGACCACACCATTGCGTTTTGAATGGAAACTAATCGCCTACATTGAAAAAAAGCTCTGAAATTTTTCTATCCAGATCGCATACAGCATCAAAAATCACACATAGTCGGAAAGATGCCAATTACTACAAAATTAATACGACGGATTTCACTTTAATAGAATTTCCCCTATAAGTAATAACCATCGTATTGAGGAATTCGCAATTGTCACTTACGAGTAGATATTTGGGAGCTTCACCAACATAAAGTTTGCTGTGACAGTAAAATACTTTTTCACTTAAAAATACTCTTTCATGACTTGCCTCAACCGTAAATAAGCCTGTTCATTTTAAATCAGAACATGTATGAAAGAAATGTAGATAACTTCGATGTAAAATGCATGCATTTACTTTGGTCGATGTAAGATGAAGACAACTTGCAGTTCATTTATATCAGGTATACAAGAGCATGAGGAAATAAGGCATACAACTGCGGTATCATACAACTCTTATTATAGTCATCATTGAACGCTAATAGCTTTAAGATGACCGTTATCTGCACCGATACATGAGCGATCAGCAACATGATATACTTCCTCTCAAAGCTTCTCAACTTGAAAACTTTATTACTCTAAAGAACAACTCTAAATCTATTGCATTACATCCACCGGGTTTCTTCTTCCAAACATTCATCGATGCAATGCAATTAAAGTAGCATAAATAAAATTTGCTTATATTTTTTCATAATTATAACTTCTAATACCGCAATATTCCATATCCTGGAGAATTTCCTAGTTTCACAGCAATGCAGTAGATTTATCTAACCATCAATGTCGTAGATTCATGTAACGAACAATGTAGTCAATTTATCTACCAGAGAATGAATACCCTAAAGGGTTTATCTATACATGGCGACTCTGGCAGTGTGGTAGAAGCACATGTAGGCGTCACAGAGCAGGCGGCGGGTAAGATGAGGCAGCGCCTTGTCGTCCGTGATGGCACTCAGTGCCAGGCTGCCCTGGTCACTCAGCCACTCCTGCAACTCACGGCACTCCACCACGCTAGGGATGTTGTAGCCGTGCTGCTCTCCTGCAACATCAACGCTCATATTACACACTGCAACATCAACGCTCATATTAATTATTATTTTAAACATTCCATAGCTAGAATGTTTATAACTAAGTTATAACTTGTTCATAACATAACTTGCTCCACCCACACAAATAGTTCAACGTCATGCTTGTATTTTTAAACATTGAAACAAGTTTTACACATTTTAGAGTTAGACTTGCGAATAATTCTTGACTATGACGATTAAAATTCAAAAGTTTTCAGGATATCTTATATCCACGAAACAGAACCAACTGGTCTCTCGCAATTAAATTACCCAGCAGACAGGTATCTTTATGAGTAAACTCAAGCTAAACATAAATGAAAAAAGGGAGTCCATCCAGACGTTGAAATGCTGAAAATACAAATAAAAAGACACAAATCAGAAATATTGAAGCACAGTATCCCTCAATCTGAACCTTTTCTGTCGGCCATGGAGTCGAAGAAGCACCATGGTGCCTCAGGCCCCTCCCCACATCGGGTGAAGGTGACGTAGTGCGAAGTTTCTATACAAACCACGGCGAAAAGTTCCATGAATATGCGGGGTACAGAGGGACAGTGACTGGCCAACATACGGTACTCCAGCGGCACGCACAACTTGCGCACCGACTCGTGACGGTCTCGCTCCTTGTGGTTGTGAACCTGTACAGGGAACAAAGTTATTTGGAATATTTAATTATTTGCATCACAGTTCTTGGAATAAAAGGAAATGATAGTTTGTAATTATTGAATATATGACGTATATAATGGTTATTGAGACGCTAGGTGTTCATATAATAGCAAAAGTGTATACATTTTTTGGTAGCTGTATTTCTAAGAAACATGCAAATGCTTTATTCGTGAGGCAAAAAGTAAAATTCTTCCTAGATAAATTGCAATTCAATAACTGGTTATAGATAATTTTTCTTCATTTGTTTTAATGCTATGTACATAGAGCTTTTGAAATTGTTTACCCTGGCTTCTGATACCTAAAAATGTTATAATAACTTGGTGTTTGCACTGTACTTCATAATACCGTTCTGAGGCAGTTGTCGCAGAAGGCGATGCTCTCAAGACCCGAGCCGCACTGCCCAAAGCACTGCGGGCACTCAAACTCTGCCACCTGACCGCAGATGTTGCACTGCCGAGGAGCTGCAAACGGCCACAGGTTTATCAAGCATACTAACAAATCACGCAAAAAGTTGAGTGTTAAACCAACAAATTACTTCATTCTCCTAATTCATTTAACTGTAATTGTTCAATATGTTCGAGGGAATTAATAAGAAACCGAGCCAGTGGATATGTATAAAGTAATAGGCGTAACACCCTCACCAGGTTTGATAATGTTGGAGACACTCACAGTCTTCGATGACGTCGGTGATGTCGAGCAGCAGCGAAGGCAGGATGCGCGGGTACATCTTGTAGTCCTTGCCGAACCTCGGCATCTGCAGGATCAGGATGGAGGGAACCTGCAACACAAGCAAATGCTAACGTTGCAGCAAGAAATTTGAGTGAGATACAAACAGGTTATTCGAAATTCTGAGCGTTTTTAGCTCGTATCCAGCCACATTTTTTGATAGAAAGTTGGAATTAAAATTCTAGTTTACATTTTACGTTATCTCCCAACAACTGTGATAAATACAATTATCACAGAAGCATGAACAGATGATTTGCAGTTCAATTATTTATCAACAGATCATAAATTCAGTAGTTAGATACTTGATTTTGGAGTAAATATATTTTAAATTCCATGCTTCATCGTTACTGAGTTAGCATAAACGTCTCAATCTAGTAAAAAAACTGGCTATAGGCCACGGGAATATAAAAAAAAGTGTAAGTATGCGAGTGTTTCACCTCCTTGAGTTTGATATCAGAGGTGAGGAAGCTCTGGTCGAAGAGCTGTTGGACGGAAGGCATGGCAACGTTATCGTCTTTCTCCAGGAAGAGCTGGTAGTGGTAAGCCTGCTGGCCAGACGACAGATGAAGGTAAGGCTCTTCCTTCAGAATCTGAGCCAGCAGCGAGTGTAAGAACTCTTCGGGGTCTGAAATAAACAAAAATTACCACACTTGTTTTTCTTATGCATGTCCAGGTGCTTCAATATCAGGTGTGCATGTCTAGTGCCTCATACATGGCTAGTGCTTTAATATCTCCCTACACAATTGTAGGCTTAAAATGGACGCAACATAATTTGATTTAGATCAAAATAAGTAGGAAAAATGTGAAATTAGGATGCTTGAAATCCAGATAATTAAGAAAATTGATAAAAAAAAATCAACGAATAATGGGCATAATGATGGTGCACGGACCTTTCTCTTCAGTGGTGAGTCCCTTGACCGACGACAGGCCGTCTAGCAGCTTGCGCAGCTTCATGATGCGGTCTGCCCTAACAAACATCCTCGAGCGCAGTGGGTTGACGATCTCCTCTCTGAGGACGTTCTGGACTTCGCTGTACTCCTTGATGTCGCCGTGCGTCGAGGGTCTGAACAGCAGGCTGTCGAAAACGCTGTAAAGAACTTCATATTAGAGTTTTTCAGAAGAGAGTGATAGCTTTGTTATGAACTTGACTCTATGATGGCACTATTTTTGTCACGAGTCAGGAGAGCATGCTAGACTTAAGATGAGACTATTTTTAATAAGACAGCTACTAAAGAAATAAATTTCACGAATGAATGTTAATTGTTCAGTCTATACGGCAGACTGAAAACACAAAGAAACACAACACCTCCGTAGAGGTTCACGAGAACAAATGATTATTTACTCAACGAAAGCCACAATAACCTTTCACCGCAAAATCTAGCAATTTTACAATCAGAATTCATCTTATATTCCTAACTAAAACGCGCGGGAGCATCATTGAGGTAACAACCCTTGCAGTGTCATATGCTCTGAACATCTTTGATGAATTAATACAATTAATACAATGTTCGTTGTTTATTTTAATTTCATTTAATTCTCTTTAATTGCCAATTTAATTCCCTTGAGCTGGCGGTTTACCTGGTGAAGGCGAACATGGAGAAGAGCGTGGCGTCGAGGTAGCAGCTGTTCTGGTGGCCCTGGATGCCTTTATTGCGGCCTATCATGGCCAGTACAGAAGACCCGCGAGGGGGCGCCACGCGTCCCTCCACAGGACCGCAGTCCTCGCTGCCAAAAGCTACCATAACAACACCATTAAAAAATATATAACTCAGTACTCACTGCAGTGAGTGACCAAAAGCTACCAACACCACACCATTAAAAAATATAATTCAGTACTCGCTGCAGTAAGTGCAGTGAGCGCATTTCACGTTGCCGAGTATCATGGATACTCGGCAACGTGAAGTCACAGACAGACAGACGGACGGACATGACTAGCACAATTTGGGCAGTTTTTTCCATGAATGAGAAAATGCGCTAAAAATGCTCTAAATGTGAGCAACTGTCATGTAGTAATGTGATTTAAAACCACGGTCTTCGATTACGGCATGATGCTGGCTGAAAGATTCTCACCTGCTTGTGTTACATGCATAACTTATACTCAGTTCAGTCACATCTGTACAAAATAATACAATTAATTCACTCCACGCACAATTAGTTGTTGATCAGAAGAAATCACCAGGAGCACTAAATTTCAACAACAATGGTTAATTCAGGGACTTCTTTAAAGGCAACAACACGAAAAACTGCAGTAAAAGGTAGAAAGATTAACAGGTAGAGGAGGGCTATATTTTGCTGGAAGGAAAGAGGCTGCTGTTGATGATAGTAACGTAAACCTCGTGACACTCACTGAGGTAATCATCTGGGTATGTCCTATAATCTCAGCAAGAATGACGTTCATATAAAAACATAAATTGATTTAAGAATCAAAAGAAATTTTAGTTTGGGGAAGCGCATTTGTTCATCACTTAATGAAAATCATGCTCGCCCTCAGCGGTGCCATCACGTTTCAGGCAGAGGTTAAAATTATGCAAACAGCATATCTAAGTTGAAAGCTATATAGATATATATATAATTCGACCCTATTTTGAATTCAGCGCTATATTTTTTAACAATACAGGATAAAAGCACAACAAGCATGCAATAAGGAATATTGATATATTTATCCGAGACAGGGTAAGATTCATTTCCTAGAAAATAATTAAATTTTTCTCAATGCTTAACCTTCATAAATCGTTAGTAATTAAACACATGAATCCATTGTAGATTGAGAATTAGTTCATAGAAATATTATTTTGATTCAGAGTTGTAGGAAGCTATTTAGAGTTGTATATTTTCATTTAGATTTGTATAAAATGGTATATTAGTTCATCATACATCCGCGTAAAATATAAATAATTTTGAGTTTTGGCAAGGTTACAATGGTCACGCCAAGCAAAGGTTATTGTATGACGTGAAAAAAAAATTGGTACCGAATGGGACGCAACCTGCAGCAGGTTTCTTTTTCTTTCCTGTAACAAACAGAACCCAACTCGTTTGAAATCTTATTGTTGTATAATTTGCTAATTATGTCACATTTGTCTAGCTAATTGAGTAATGAGAGATTCACAAAGAATTTCCATTGGTCACTTTAAGAAAGAGAGTCATCATCTCAGGAAATATGGTAGCACAAGACATTGAAATTTTATCCATTAAAAAGCGATTTTTATAATATCATCTGATGAAGCAACTTGCATATAGAAGAGAAATACCAAACTAAAATATGAAAAAATGTAAGAGTTCAGATGTAAAATTCAAAGATTGATTTCTGAAAAAAAATGTGTTAATAAGTGTATACCTACATGTTCATTGACAAAACTTGCAAAAATGTAAGGCATTTTTAGGAGACAATTTCTAGCAAAAACTTTGACATTTTGTGAAGGTTTAGATACCCCAACATAGCTCCCGACATAGCTCCAAAGGCAAAGAAGGCAACAAAATAGGGAAGGTTTAGGGAGACAGGGAAGGTTTAGGAAGACAGGGAAGGTTTAGGAAGGCAAGGAAGGTTTAGGGAGACAGGTAAGGTTTAGGAAGACAGGGAAGGTTTAGGAAGACAGGGAAGGTTTAGGAAGGCAAGGAAGGTTTAGGAAGGCAGGGAAGATTTAGGAAGACAAGGAAGGTTTAGGAAGACAGGGAAGGTTTAGGAAGACAGGAAAGGTTTAGGAAGACAGGGAAGGTTCAAGGAAGGCCATGAAGGTCGCAGAGGCACAAAACGCACCTATGCTGGCCCTGGGGTTGGCGGACGACAGCGTCTCCAGGAAGCGGCTGTCTTGGCGGCAGAGGGAGAGGTTCACAAAGATGGCTTTGCCAGGGGGACATGAGAAGTGCCGGCGCCCGTTGAACGTGCCATCACTCAAACCATCAGACCCGTCCTCCTATATCAGTATTTACCATTATTTAGCATTTAACACGTTGACTACGTATTGGTACATATGCATACCACGAAATATATTTCTTGAGGAGGTAGTGGTACATAATTCAGGTTGCCTAAAATCGGCCAAATCCGAGAACAAAAAAGGCCGATAATCCAATGTATACTAGTTTATTTGTAGGTTCCGCTATAAAAATTCCATTTATTTTCTTTTTGCAGTACCGTATTTAAAATTTAATTAGGAAGTACCCCTATCATAAATTTTAGCCGGCCAACGCAATTGAGAAAAACTAAATCACGGAATTTGTTCGGAAAAAATGACCGTCTGGCAACCCTGCTTAAAAAAAAGTACAAAAAATAAAATAATAGTACAAGATGAAGCAATCGTAGTCAACGTATTAATATTTTCATTTAAGAAATAAAAGAATAACAACAAATGTCAATCATTCCAAAATTTCGAAACCACAGTCAAATACCTCAGTAATCAAGCAATGGAGATATGCATCATTTATGTAGAGCACAGAATAAGTTACCCTAAATAATAAATAACAAAGTTATGTCTTTCTTATCCTCACCAGCTCAATGCCGGCCACCACGCGGCCCTCCTTCTTGCCGTCTGAGATGGTGCCAAGCCACTGGATCACGCCAAACCTGAGGGCAAGAAAGTGTGTCATACAAGTAACTGTATTAATGGTTGGTAACTACATGAATGGTTCATAACGATATAAATGGTTGGTATCAGCAAGAATGGTAGGCATGTACATGACAAATCTAAGTCAATGCCTGTAGGATAGGTAGTTGAATGGCTGCACAAATCGTTTGTCTTGTGCATGGCCAGTTTAGTTCAAGAAAAACCATCATGTAGATAATACAAAACTTTCACTTGCATAGGCAAAGAAAATTAATATATTTAATCACATATTATCACAGATTTCATTCATAAAGGAAAGTGAATGAACCTTGGCATGCCTTTGATGACAATCTCGACCATGGAGCCAACATCAAGTTCAGTATTGATGGAGTCGCTGTCATGACCCAGGTCAGGAGACAGGCTGCTGCCGCTGTCCGATAACACTTCAAGCTGGTCCAAGCCTGGCAGAACATTAAAATTTCATATCAATCACTTTCCTCTTGTAATTGATGTTTTGATATAGAGTATGACGCTATTATACACATTTTTGTCAAGTTCAATTTGGTTCAAATTATATTAGTCCCAATGTTCATGCACAATTTTGTACCGTGTTCATGGACTTGGTAATTTCTTGGATGATCCTTGATAATTTTACCACTGGTTAACCCACTGCAATGAATAAAGTCAAATAAATTGATTTAGAGCCATCACAAAACCTAAGAAGGACAACCATACATGTGAGTAAAATTGACAAAAAGCTTTTCATTGTTGAAAAAAAATTCTGATGTGATGCATTTTCTGTTAAAAATTGCTATCATATAACTTGCACAATTTCACTTCATTAAAGGTCCCAATACTTGAAAAACTACTAGTAGTGAAAACAATGGGATATAGGTACAAAAATAAAACTATGTTAATTACTAGTAATAGTTTTATCAGTTCCTAAATACATATAGTAGGTTTCTTTGATTTATAATGTTTTTTGTTTTGTAACTGTGACAAGCAAACTGCACCAACAGCTATCAGACTAAACACTATGACATCAGTCATATTTTGCCACCAACGATCTAGCTAATAACTACGAGTCAGGTAGAGCTAAAATAATTTTATTAATGGTCTTATTAATATTGGAAGGAAAGATTCATTACATGAATATAGAATTTTTCATCTATCAAATTGGCAGCTACAACAAAAAAAAAGAGAGATTAGTCACTGAAAATTAATAGAGTAATTGCTCTTCTTGATTTTGATTTACAAAATCAGCAGCTACAACAGGAAAAAAGAGAGATTAGTCACTCAAACTAGTAAGAGCAAATGCTCTTCTTGTTTTTGATCAACTAAATCAACAGCTACAACAAGGAAAAGAGAGATTAGTCACTGAAAATAATAGAGTAATTGCTCTTCTTGTTTTTGATCTACTAAATCAGCAGCTACAACAAGAAAGAAAGTGAGATTAGTCACTCAAAATAATAGAGTAAATGCTCATCTTGTTCACTCACCACTCTTGGGAAGATGGAAGTAAGGACTGGAGGCAGAAAGCTCTTGGTCATCAAGACTACATTCCTCGGCTTGGCGAGTCTTTTTCTTAGTGAGTGAGTTTGAGTTAGAGGAAGGCGTGCTAGAGCGACTCTCCTGGATGCCACTTGACCCAGAGGAGCAAGATTTAGGAATAGATGATTGATTAAACTCGAGATTGTTATGGACTGACCTTGAATTAGAGAAACTTTCACCGAGATTAGATTGTAATGCATCTGCATAAGATAATGTACTGCATCCAGACAATAAGTTGCTTGTGAGAAAATCATTTTCTTTGGAGTTAGAATAAGAAGGTGAGTAGAAACGAGGGCACTCAGTTTCAGAAACTCGAGGATGAGGCTTTGATACAACAGGGTCAGAGACGAGGGAGTTGCTAGTTAGCTTTTGAGATGCTGAGTTAGGGAGCAGCATGGACGAGTCAGTGTCACTACCTCCTTTGCTGTGGTTAATGCTGTTAGATGAGCTACATGAGCCACTCAGTCTCTTCTCACCAGCGCTAGACCAACTGTTATTCACGTTGCTCACATATGTTTGCTTGCTGCTTCGACTGCGTTGCTTGTGCTCACCAAGAACCTCCTGGAAAGAAAGAGATAAATGAACATGTATAGAACAAGAATAGAGCAAGAAAATTCAAAGAAATTACTTTTAACTAGTACTGGCATTGTTTCAAATAGTTGGGCATGTAAATAGTGAAACTCATCACATATATATTACACATATCATACACAGAATGCGAATCATTAATATACATTTCATAGGAGGTAACTCATACTGCAAAAAATCAGCAAACTATGTTTTTGAGAGTGATAGCTGTGTTGCTCAGACTTTAATGTTCAAGAAAGTACCATTGGTAACATGCATTGAGATATTGATAAGAAGTTTATAACATAATATAAAAATCTTTAATTTTATTTAACAAAGAAATTAATTACTTATACTCTGATAAAAAAATTCTCCACTGACAGTGTGGTAAAGACAATATTAACTTAAACTCACTACATTGTTTGGAGGAATATTCCTATGAAAAGCATCACAAGTTGCTCTTGGAATGTCCCACGTTGTGTTGCGGGACAAGGTGTTGTGAGGGTCGACTGATGGAGTCATGCCCAGATTACCCAGCACATCACAAGCATTGGCCATTCCTACTGCCCATTGACTTGTTCCATTGTTGTGTGTGGTAGGGCTCATCACACCCGTGCTTGAAGTCCCGCCCCCTCCGTTGGGGTAAATCATTTTTGGATCCCTCATGGCTGATGGTTTGAGGCCTGTTAGTTTCTCGTATGCCATAGAATTATATGTTGAGTTGAAATTACTGTTGCTGCTACTCATAGTGAGAGTTGTCAATAGAGTTTAGTAACCTGAGGAATATGCAGAAATTAGTCATTTGGCATGGGAAGATTTTTGAAATAAAAACCTTTGAGAAAAAAGTCTACATATGTAATTTTGTGTCTACAAAAGTTTATAAGTGTTTTGGCTAGTCCATTTAGACAGTATTACTTTTGATTATTATAGTAGAACCTATATGACATCAGACATCACAACTTAAGTTTTTTTAGCAGATGTGACTTCTCATGCATATAGGTATAAACTTACTATACAAAGTAATTGTCTGAAAATAGGATTCCTTCAAAAAGTAAACAATTTAGTATTCAGTAATGGAGTAATGGTGTCATTTGTTACTTTTATCAGGTTCATCCATCTTCAGTTATTGGCAGCATGGTTTCTTGGAGAGTTATAGTCTCATCAGCACCACAAGCTTGGAACTTGATGAATCAATCATTTGGAAGTCAGAATCAATGTTGCACTCAGATATAGAAGTAGTTATACAGGTAAAAGACACCAACTATGGTCTGCCGTGGTAGGTAGGCATGCAGTGGAAAGCAAAGGACTCTAGGCTCTCTCAGTCCCTCCTATTTGCTGTGATGTCTGGTGGAGGTGGCATTTTCTTTTTTAATTTGATTTGAATGCTTTGGGTATGCAAGTAGCATACCTCCCAGCCTAAGGTATGACATAGTACCTCAGTCTGGGATTTGGGACACTTCATTTCACTTTTAGATCTCTTTACTTCTTAGCACCTCCAGTAGCCAATGTGACAGTAAATTGTGAAAAGAAAAAGCAAAATTCAATTAGGCTTTGCAGAATATTCACAGCCTGTTCATGATATTGCAGCTGAGCAAATATTGACTGAGATGAAAAATTGCAGCAGTGCATCTACTTATTGGGGCATCGCCACAACCAAGACCTGAGGAAAAATCCCAGGGAACTGAGAGGCCCTCCAGTCTTGTGTGGAAATCCCTTCATTGGCTGATGAATTGTGTGTAGTGCAGAATCAGATGTCTGATTTTGCCCTCCACACTGCATACTGAACACAGGATACTGGACAGTTACTGGAGTCAGTTAAGTTGAATCTGGCCAAATAAGCGTTGACACCAGATTGCCCCAAGCATAAGAGTGACACAGCACATTCAACTAAGCGTGGAAGCAATCCATAGTCTAAATAGGATATCTCACATGTCAAAATTCTTGCAATGGTCCCATTTCCCCTTTTCTTGCATGTTGGCTGACCATTGGCAAGCCTATTCCTGAACGGTGTGAGACTTCTTAGAGCAGATCTGCTTCTCAAAACCCAACTGAGATCTTGCTGAATGGTTGTTAGAATGTGCCAGATTTACTTCCCTGTCCACCATCTCATTTCCATAGATACCACTGAGGCATCTGATCTCTCTGATCTAGCAGACCACTACTTTGTCAATTCTCTTGACCAGCATCATCTGTATCTTGAAGACAATTGCACAATATGAGTGCCCAGATGAGTAGGATGAAAGCTGCTAAGTAAACCTTAAATCTGACAAAATCAAAACAGGCACCTCCTTCATTGATACATCTTTAGCAGCCAGCTGCATGGCCTTGGGTGTGGCAAACAACTCAGCAGCAAGCACAGTGTGCTCTCATCAAAGCAGCCACCCTGTTGATGAAGCATCCCTGGGTTGATAGCACAAAAATTCCAGCAGAAACTGACCCATTATAAGATTCTGAAACATCTATATAAATTTGGAAATGCTTGGATTGTGCTCCAGCGAGAATTCATAAAAGCAATTATGAACAAATTCATGTGGCATATCAAGGAAGTTGCAGGCAGTTGCAGCCATGGTAGCCTTCTAAATGACTATGGGGTCATTCCATGCCAAGTGGTCTAACCCTTTCCACCATCATGGTCTCCAATTCCAAGCTGTGTCGGAATTAGTTTTTATGTGTCTAAAACCATCTCTTAACTTAATCATCTATTAATTTTTTTACTACTTGAAATCAGCAAATACAAGTATACTTAAAGGATTCCTAATATATTCACAGATGTATTTAAAAGTCTCAAACCATAATATTCTTTCTACACAAACGGTTTATCACTATTTGGTAGAGCAAGGTCAACTATCAACTTTGACACATTTTTCGATATTCTCACCAGGTGACGTGCACCATACCCAGGATGGTGCCGTTTTCCGCGGATTAATCCGGCGTAAACGAGGCTCCAAGCCCTTCTACTGGCGTACAACGCGGCGCACAAAAAGCTAAAATGATGTTATTGGCGCACAAGCCTGGCGTACGTCCGCATCTGGTTTGTCTCGACATACTTCTGCTTTTGGGTGATCTGGCTTGTCCCAACATACCGTACGTACGCATCTGGCTGGTCTCGACATACGTCTGCATCTGGGTGATCTGGCTTGTCTCGATGTATGTCTGCATCTGGGTGATATGGCTTGTCCCGACATACCGTACGTCCGCATCTGGCTCGTCTCGACGTACATCTGCATCTGGGTGATCTGGCTTGTCCCGACGTACCATACGTCCGCATCTGGCTTGTCTTGGCGTACGTCTGCATCTGGGTGATCTGGCTTGTCCCAACGTATGTCCTCATCTGGTTTTGAGCATTTTAGTGCATACTAATGCGTTTTAAGGTGATTTAGGGCCTTCTAATGCGATCTAGTGCATTCTATTAAGATCTAGTGCGTTCTATTACAATCTAGTGCCTTCTAATGCGATCTAGTGCGTTCTATAACGATCTAGCGCCTTCTAATGCAATCTAGTGTGTTCTATTACAATCTAGTGCATTCTATTATGAACTTTATTATATTATCAACAACATGGCACATTATAACAACATTATATTATTAACAACATGGCACATTATAATAACATAACACATCATAACATAGCACAGTATAGCAACACACCATATTATAACAACATAACACATCATCACCTAGCACAGTATAACAACATAACACATCATAACATAGCACAGTATAACAACATACCACATTATAACAACATTTTTTTCTAAATAGTTGGCTGAAGACTGAGAAATATATTAAATGCAAGAATTTCAATCTAAATGTGTCGGCAAGATCTTCTGAAGGCGAAAATTTTGCCGATAATGCGTCGCCGTAGGTCTTTAAATCTTTGTTCACTCTCTGCACAGTGGTGAGATTCCAACTGTATTAAAAATTCGTCATGTTGGAGCCGCAAAATTTCAGAAACGAGTAGAAAAATTCCACTCCTTCCCTGCCCTGCACTGTGCACAGAAACAGCAGCCACACTTGCTTCATCTTGATGGCCTGTGACTCAGTGACTGTGAGTGTGATAGGACTCATAGGAGCAACAGGAGCAAAAAATATTCACCAACAGGCAACAATGAAGTTGTTTAATTGGCATGAATGAAAGTTCATCTAAATACATAAGTATATACTTAATAATATTCAAACAAACAAACACACCCTATACATTGTTCAGAGGAAGCTATATTTATTTTAGTTTATTAGTAGAGAGGAGGTAATTTAGGTAAGTGAAAACAGCCTCTACAATGCTACAATCAATGGCATGCTGAGTCAGCTGTCAGCCTGAGTGGCGAGTGACTGAGGAGAAGGGGCCTGCTCCCAGTCCCAGCAAATTAAAAAAGCAAAAGATTTACATCGAGTGCAGCAAGTGATTTCTTCTTCTTTTCCGGGTGTCCACGCTGGGCGGACTTAAAGCCGCAGGTCAACCGCAAGTATGACCGTTGGGCCTGAAAGCTTTTGCAGGTGCAGCAAGTGAGCAAGCTAGGTAGGCCTAGACTGTTCCGGGCAATCCTATGGAGCGGACAGTGGACGAAGAAATTTTCTATCGTTTCAGCGTCAGCCCCACCATACACGCTTTAGCCGTGAATGCAAGTTATGCAACTGATATCCTACGGAAAGGTGGTGGCTCTTAATTATTTCCATATTAATGTAACATAAAAAAGCAATGAAAAAGAGCTCTAGAAGGTGCTCTACACGGACAAAAACGATGTGAATAAATTTTGGATTTAAGGCTTGTAGTCAAAATGCAGCGAAGTCTTAGAGCGAGGTTTTCGCAACCATCGTGTAAAATCCTTGATCTGCCCAAAGCTCGGCCAGTTGCTACCCTCGAGCTTGCACTCTTTTAAGGGGACCGACCTCCCTAAAATTTTCAATTTTGGCGTCTTTCGGTTTTTGTACTCATCTGAAAGCTGGAATTCTGCTCTTTCCAATGGTACCACTGCCATCGCTGTACGCCAATATTTACGTTAATGACGTCTCTTTAAAGGGAAGCGGGTGGGAGAGTTCTTTAAGAAATTAGATATAAATTAATTAGCTGCTGAAATCTTTGAATATAGTTTCTACTTGGGTTGTGTTGCAGTTACATGCTTAGTCTCATCTTAAAGCTGACATTCTGAGCTTTCCAACGATACTACTGCCATCTATATACGGCAATATTGACGCAGATGGCCCGCCTTTATTTGGGGGCGGGGGGTGGAGTTCCTTAAGTAAAAGTAAAGACCAGGCCTATCAACTCTAACATCACTTTTTTGAATTTCGGTCTGGTTCGTTTTTTATATGGGGGAGAAGGGGGGGGGAGGGGGTGAAAAATGAGAAAAAAATGTGAAAAATGGAAAAAAACGCAATAAAAAAAAAACTAGATGGAAAATGAAAAAAGTGATGTTAGAGTCGATAGATATGGTCTTTACAAATCGAATGATACGTGTCTCGATGTTGTGGGATGATATTTGTGGGAGGAGATAGATTTTCTGAAGTACCCCTTTTTTAGCTTTTTAGCCGTTTTCTATGAATTTCACGTTTTCTATCAATTTTTTCGAAAAATTCATAGGAGCAAAATGTTTTTTTTTTTACATTTTACGTATGTATGTGAAGTTTCATGACAATCGGATAATAACTGTAGAAGTTTTCGTATGAGGAGGTCGGTCCCCTTAATATGATATCCCAGCCAGACCCTTCTTCGCGGCAACTGATCGCTTTCAGGTGGCCGAGGAATGGCCAACGGTCGGCTATAACTAATTGGACTAGGCCGACCACTGGCCACGTATTATTCTTCGCCCCTCATTGACTTCGCCTTTATCATGCCACCCGTCGTGAGCTGACAGTTGAGTAATTTACAACGTCTCTTTCCCCTCAAACATTGCACAACGCCTCCATTTGAGCAGCTAGTATGCGGGATTTTCCCTCCGCGTATCAGCAGGCTCGATCATAACTATTTTTCGGTAGAAAATATCTACAACAAGGAGGCTGATCAAGGAATGCCGAGTATACCATTCAATGGAGAATAAAAATTACAACCCGTTAACATCTCGAAAAAAGTAAAAAAGTCGCAAACATGATGAACAATAATATTCAAAGTTTCTTGAAATTTCCTCTCATTAAAACTCTTTTAATACAAAGTTTACATATTTTTTGTTACTGGTCGACGCCTATAAATAAATAGCTGGGTAAGTAAAAAATCCATATCGCCATCTCATTTGCGAGTGGAGTAAAGTCTATCTTAATTAGTGAAGAAACGCTTAGGGAAGAGCCGAGCCTGTTCGAAGCCTCTCGGTTTTCAATCAGATCCATTTCGCAACGCAGTATGAACGATGCAAATGGTTTAAGTTATAATGAATGGTAACCTTTCTTATCCTGACTTATCTTGACATGATCTAACCTAATTTTCAAAGAAGTTTCGTTTTTATCGGAAACGAAGCAACGTATTGTAGCACCAACAGAAGATCAAGCGGCTAGAATAAAACGATTGACGTGCGCTTCAACCAACATCAATCTGCTGGCCTACTTTCTATATTTTGATCAAAACCTACCTCATATCAGAAAGGGGGTCAGTGCATACTCATTAGTTTGCTAGTGTTTTTTTATGAGCTGCTGTGTTGATTTTGGTGGCAAGTAATGCGTTAAATCTGCTCGGAAGTCAATCTTCTCGGTGTCACTCATCGGTCCCCAAATGTTAAATCTTAAATTGCTACGCAGGATCTACCGATCTCAGTTAAACTGAGTTAAACTCTTTGGGTTGATCTGACTCCAAAAGAACATTGATGTAATAATTAGTTAGTAGTCTAGGATACAAAACTGATTTATAATAACTATTTCTATTATTTCACTCAAATCTTCAAGCACCTCAAAAGTTGACTATCAAATTTATTCCTGTTGCTTTCAATGTTAAATTTTTGCCATCAGATTCACAAATTTGCCATTGTATAAATCTATATCGAATCAAAAGAAGAGCTACTGGCGGTAAACTAGCTTAGAAAACGAATGGAACTCGAAAATTTAGAGCTCATAAAGCAATTCATGAACTACCGAAAAATCTGACATAAAGTAGATCATATAATTTCTAAAATTACAAACAAATTAAATTTTTCACAATGGTCGCGACTACTGATTTGGCCTTCTTTTCCTTAAAAAATATGTGAATCTTTCGAATAATCAATTTCATCGATCAAACTTTCTAACACTAACCATCAAGCCTCGCTTTAAGCGTCAAACGGGTTCCTACACGGTCACTCACGTTGGGTGAATTTTGGTGAATCGATTGACTCAAGCTTTTGATCATGCCGCTTGATCGTTTAGTGGCTCTTTAAAAATTTTTCATTCTTCCTACCATAGTGGCCTGCTATTAAATCTTTATTTATAACATTTTATGCAGATCTAATCAGAATTGAAGGCCTTTTCACAACACTTCTATTTAACTTCACTTCTTGTTGTTTGTCTGTCTGTCTGCTACAAATCTTATCATCGATTTTTAACACACTTCTACCCATAGTTGAATTGAATATTAATTCAACTATGCTTCTACCTATCCAATCGATCTGAAATTTTGCATACTTGCATAAAGTCGGAGACAATGCATAAATCAATTGGCAGAATGAATAATTTTGAAATTTTAATTTATTTTATGTATTAAAATATTAAAAAAATTATTTTTGTTGATATTCGAAATTAAAATTAGAAATTCATTGTACATGTTTTACATTGGATACACAGGATTTTTTAGAAGTGTTGTCTTTAAAAAGTAATTTTTAAACGTAAGTATATTATTAAATCTTCATTTGCTCAAAAGTTGCGTTGTATTTTTTTAAACTTGAACAAAATCACGCAAAAAATTACGCTGTGGTGCTTACTTCCTCTGCGCGATACTTATTGCTAATAATTTGCAATATTTTGAACTTCATGCTTATTTTATCTGCATTGAAGGACTTTATAGCAAGCTGTTCGGTTGCACCAAAGTTGTCTTTTTCATTTGAGTCAGCTGGCGATATCGCTGAGGAGTTCGAAGAAGTGTAGATTTTGTGAACATTGTGGTGACCACAACCGTTGACTAGTGGAAACTGAGAAAAGGGCCAAAGGGGCCAAAATTACAGATGAACTTGGGTGTCGCAAGGTCTTCTGCGATGGCTCTATCAGCGGCCAAAAATGCTCGTATCCTACAATTTGGTGAGTTAATTTTATTTATACTGGTCATAGTTTGCCATAAATCAACACAGTGACATCTGCAAGACTGCAACTGTCTGCAAATTATTGGTCAACTCGGCACTCGTTATGAACCTCAGGACCTGACCCTCAGACCCTGAACTGGCTGAACCTGCAACTGCAAGGTTGCAATATTAACTTTAAGCCAAAATTCTGAGTTGAAATTGTAAATTTTTAATTTGATAAAATGCAAATAATTTCTCTTAACTTGTAAAAGTATGTGGTTTTTTAAAGAAAAATACTAGGTGATTTACCGTGATTATGAAAAATATTAATACTAAATATTATGCAAATTAATTTACAGACTTGAGAGTGGAACTGTAAGAATTTTATTCAAGGTATGTTCTCTATTGGAAAACATACATTGAAGTTTTGAACATTATAGACCTATCTCAAGTAACATGTCTATAAAATACATTAAAATGTTAAAACCTAAAACTAACTACAGTATTTTTTTTGTTAAAGATAAGCTATTTTTTTTACTATTAATTTTTTACAGTGGATTAATTTGTAATCTTTCATTTGGTTGAAATGAACATAATTGTTCTATATAGCTATCTATATGTACGCACCAATGCTGGCAATGCAGATATATTATATTATAAATGCTTATCAGTTATCAATTTATCATTAAACTAAAATGGGTGCTTGACTTGCCAAATATTCTTCATAAATGTTATTTAAGGTAACCTTTAATTATTAAATGACATTGAATTAACATATTTATTCCTTTCTCAGACTCATATTAACCTTTAGTACAATATACGTTTAAAAACTACTTTTTAAAGACAACACTTCCAAAGAATCCAGTATCTCCAATCTTACAGATGTACAATGAATTTTTCATCTAATTTTCGAAAAAAAAAAAATACTTTTTCAATTTTTAAATACCGTACCACCTATATATAATTTTTTTTTAATATATAAATTTTTTCAAAATTATTTATTCTGTAAATTGATTCATGCATTGCCTCTGACTTCACACAAGTGTGCAAAATTTCAGATCAATTAGACAGGTAAAAGTGTGTCAAATATCAGTTATAAGATTTGCAGCTGACAATATTATTTTTTCAATTTTTTTAACATTGAAAAAAAATTTTTTTTTCAATTTCTAAAATCATTTATTTGACATTTGATTCATGCATTGTCTCCAACTTTACACAAGTGGGCAAAATTTCAGATCGATAGGATAAGTAGAAGAGTATTAAATTTTGATTACAAGATTTGTAGCAGACAGACAGACAGACAAACAAGAAGTGAAGTTAAAGAGAAGTGTTGTAAAAACAAGAATAGACATCAGTCACATCACAAAATTAGTTACCCCCTAAAGCCCCTATTTTTGGTTATTTGCTCAACCTGTATTACTACTGTGCAAATGTTTGAACTTCAATCTTACCTCACCTTATTTAAAAAAATCCTAAATTTTTTCAATAGAAATGAGTAATTCCTAATGCAAAGACCATATGTATGTTGGCTTAATTTAAGTTTACATTGAGATTTTTAATATAAGGACCGTTTGTATTTATTTCCCATTAAACAAGATTTTTTTATGCCACAGCGCTGATGATCAGCAGAACTGCAGGGACACATACTAGGTTAATAAATAGGATTCTAAATGGCCCTTGCAAAGGTTCTTATACTTTTAAATTGGTGTTTGGACCTCAAAGCAACATTTTTTATTTTTATATTAATAGAAAACCAATAGGAATTATTTTTAAAGCATATGGAAACCTGGAAATGATATTAATTTAAATGGACACTAATTTAATTAATATTTACAGGTTTACCATTGAATGGAGTGGGAGCCATCTATTCTGCTGGAAACCACATCCTGAACAATTGCCTGTATTCATCTGATGTCAAATTCATCAAAACTGTTGATCCAGCACAACTTAAACGTGGAAGAGGGGGCCGCAGCTCATTTTCTGGAAATGTTTGCACCATATTTGGTGCTACAGGATTCATGGGAAGATATGTGGCCAACCGGTTTGGCAAAACTGGGACTCAGGTTGGCAAAAATTACGATAATCAATTGCATAAATATATATTTATTTCATATGTTTAGGAGTGTCCTGTAAAATTGTACTTCTTGTGTAGTTATATGAGCTGCATGAAATAATTATTTATTTTTTCTGTATTATTCATTAGTAATAAATTCTTCCCCTTGATTTTTTGTGTTGCAGCTTGTGATCCCTTACCGCGGGGATTATTATGACGCTCGCCACTTGAAGCTTGTTGGTGACTTGGGGCAGGTTGTGTTCTGCCATTACCACTTGTGTGATGAAGAAGTCATTGCCAAAGCCATGAAATATTCCAACATTGTTGTAAATTTAGTGTCCAGGGATTGGCCTACTAAAAACTTCACTCTCCATCAAGTGAGTATTATGCTGTAGTTTCTCAACAGTTACAACAATCTGTTGTAACTGTTGTTAATTGTTTTCTGTTGTTGTTAATTGTTTTCTGATTCTTGCCAAAATGTCAAATGGATCTGTGACTGTTAAAGTGACTCCTGAATGCTCTAAATTTGGTTATATTTTAATTTTCATGAAAATAAATATTATTATTATGTTTGTGCAAGAATTATAGCAACAATAATTTATTGTTCAGGTTCATGTAGAAGGTGCTGCTCGACTTGCTCGGATTGCCAAGAAGGTTGGAGTGGAGCGCTTCATCCACGTGTCTGCTCTCAACTCTGATAGGAACCATGAGGTGAAAATCTAGATGATCCAGAGATAACAAACCCGTAACTTTCTGTTGAGTATGGAGCTATTATTTTATTACCACGTTTTTCTTATTTTTGCTTTGTGTCTGTCTGTCTGTCATCAAAAATTCAAAACTTCATTTAGCGCACTTCTGAAGATCCTAGAAACATAAAATTTGGTATGCATTCTTGTGCTGCCTAACAATTCAAGATTTGATTGTCAGAAGTAATAAGTTAAAATTTTTTTCAATTAAAAAAACTAAAAATTCACGTTTGGGAATCGAGTTTTTTGTTGAACATCCAGAGTTGTCAACCCTGGAAAATGATTTGAATTGCTAAAATTGCTAAACTAATAAATAAATATAAAAACCATTTTTGAAAACCACATTCTTCTGGTAGTTACAAAGCTTAAAAAAATATAACTCGGTACTCACTGCAGTGAGTGACAGAGAGCGCATTTTCTCGTTGACAAAAACTTGAGGTCACGGACGGACAGACGGACGGACAGACAGACGGACATGGCGAGCACAATAGTTCATTTTTTCCATAAATGAGAAAATGCGCTAACAATGGAATAAAACAAATAAATACTTAAAAAAAACTTTTTAAAAAACCACGTTTTTCTTGTGGACTAAAAAGTAGAAAATAAATTGTGGCTCGCCCCAAAAAACGTGTGTCGGGCAGATTTATGATTAAAGCGAAAAGCACACAACACACGAATTTTGGAAATTTGATAGTGAACGTACAGCCCGACCCACGTTTTTTGGGGCGAGCCACAATTTATTTTCTACTTTTTAGTCCACAAGAAAAACGTGGTTTTTTAAAAAGTTTTTTTTAAGTATTTTATTTTCTACTTTTTAGTCCACAAGAAAAACGTGGTTTTTTAAAAAGTTTTTTTTAAGTATTTTATTTTCTCCTTTTTAGTCCGTTGCTACACATGAAAAACGTTGTTGCAAGCCAATTTACTTGACTTGACGTACGTATCGATGATACGCAGCGTAAGCGCCTGCTCGTCTATAACGGCAGCGCCAGCACGTCATACAATGTATATACTATTTATATATACTTTACTCAATTAAGCTAATTTAGGTCTCTAATAGCTTGTTTTTATGATTGTATCTGAAATTGTTAGGCGAAAATAGCTGCATGCCGAATTTCAGATCTCTAGAGCAATCAGAAGTGGGCTAATTTTCGTTCTCAATGTTAACAACAAACAAACAAACAAACAAACAAACGCGAAGCTAAGCTAAGAAAAACGTTTTAAAAAACTTTTGAAAACCACGTTTTCTTAACGGACAAATAAAGAAACATTAAATTTTTCAGCGAGTTGTCCAAAATTTTATTCTTGACCTAAAATGAAGTCTAAAGTTTATTTTTTTCAAATCTTATGCTGAGAAAACACAAAAAACGTTGGGCGGGCTTTAAGACACATCCATTACCCAAGTTCTATTCATAATACTTAATCTGTAGCTCCTCATAATATATGATATTTAGATCTTCACAGTGCCCGCCCCACGTTTTTTGTGTTTTCTCAGCATAAGATTTGAAAAAAATAAACTTTAGACTTCATTTTATGTCAAGAATAAAATTTAGGACAAGTCACTGAATAGTTAATGTTTCTTTTTTTTTGTAAACGTAGTTTTTACAATTTTTTTTACTTGTTTTTAGTTTTGTAATCAACTGAAAAACGTGGTTTTGAAAAAGGTTTTTTATATTTATTTTTTATTATATACCTATATTATTAGCATGTCAACATAACGTGCTCTGTCTACATTTCTTTTTTTAAATTACTCCGATTTTAGCTCGTTTTACTAGGGTAGTAATAATAATTGTATCCTGCATCCTCATTGAATTTCAATTTTTCATCTTTTTTATTTTCAACAATAATTGTATGATCATCAATTTTTAATTCACTGGAATTCATCTCCTAAGTAGGAACTCCTTGAAATCATAAATATATAATTTTATTTATGGATTCAGTCTATATTCTGGTCTCTTGAATTGTTGTTAACTCTGTTTATTTTGCATCATCTTTTGTATTACGTATATGATGCAATGTTTATAGCAATTTTCTAATTGCTGATTATGATCTTGTTTCAGGGCACCATAATCAGCGGTGGATCCCCTTTCTTGGCCGCCAAGGGTGAGGGCGAGAAAGCTGTGCTGGCCGAGTTCCCTGAGGCGATCATCATCCGTCCGAGTGATGTCTATGGCTCTGAGGATCGCTTCCTCAGGTTAGCTCATCTACCTAACTTCCTCCTCTTCCAACTTAGCTATTAATTATTATTATTACTTGACTCCTCTTCCAACGACCAGTTTTATAATTTGTTCTAAAAATTATAAGTATGAGATCGAATGTTCAAGCTCTATCTTGATCGGTTGTGGACCAAACTACGGTGCACCTGGAGCAATATTTCTCAAGAGACAAGCATGCACTTTCCTTTCATTCAGTAATTTTTGAGATGATTGCCTCAGGTACTACGCCCACTTGTGGCGCTCCGACGCCCGGAGCTTGTCCGTGCCTAAAGCTGGACGCGGCATCTTCAAGCAGCCTGTGTATGTGGGAGACGTGGCTCAGGGCATCGTCAACGCCGCCCTCAAAGACCTCGGTGCCGAGGGACAGATCTACCAGGCTGTCGGGTGAGGAATTATGACCAATGTTACTGCAGGTTCTTTGTTTCAACACTATTTTCGATTGCAATGGGCAATAATTTCCCACGTTTAATGTATGTTATAATTAACGATTTTAAATGAGGATATCGAAACTGTTCATACTCTGCTGTCAATTGAAAAGTGATGTGTTATATTAGCTAGATTGTCTGCTATTGGACTTGAGGCCTTTGCCCCCTATTCTCATCATCCAGGTTCTAAACACATAATTACTGTGATGGTTGTGACCGCTCTTAGATCATAATTTTGATAAAATTCATACGCTGCAAATAAAGAAGAAATTTTTATCTCTGGTTAAAAAAGTTTTTTTACGTATCTCACTGATTAATACTATGTTGCACATTTTTAAAACGAGATTCTCATGTGAGCTGCGAGGTTAGATGCTCGTGAAGTTTGGTTGCAGATCGCGCTTTTAAGTTCATTGCTGAAATGATTGGCCTGATTTGTGTTGCAGACCGCGACGCTACGAGTTGCGCGAGTTGGTGGAGTGGTTCCTGCGTGTGTTGCGTCGGGGCCCCGGCCTGGAAACCTGCACCACCATCAGAGACATCAAGTTTTATCCCATGCCTTTTATCAAAGCTAAAATGAACGAATTCCTCCCTTCTTTCCCCATCAATTTTCAGACTAAAGAAAAACTTGAACGAGTAAGTCCAAAAATGGGAGTGAGTTTGTGTTGCAACAGAATATATGCCTACTTTTTGGAAAACAATTGAATTTGAACGGCATCTGAACCTGTGCTTTGACGGAAATTTTTGTAATTTTCCGAAAATATCTGGGCATAGGTTCCAATTTCGTGGTTCTAAACACTTGTATCTCACATTTTCCCCTTAACATTACTGGTATTAGGTCTGTTCTGTTTTGGTCGGAATATTTAGGAAGCCAAGTGTGGCACAATTCTTAACAATTTTCTTAACATTTTTTCAGTATAAAATTTAAAATTTCCGTGCAAAATACTATTTGCATGATTCTGATGTTCCTAACCGTTGTGCAGGAGACTGTAACTGACATAGTGTCGCCGAAGCTGCCCACGCTCGAGGACCTCGGTGTAATTCCTATCAAGATGGAGGAGCGGATAGAGTGGGAGCTGCGGCCCTACAGGGCTTTCGAATCCTATGAAGAAGAGATCGGGGACTTCCCTATTCCTCATCCACCCAAGTACATTGAAGCTTAACTCAAGTGAAAACTTCGAGGAATTATGTTATGGTTCAGTTTGGCGCAGGTAACAGCTGCTGCCTAATCAAGAAAATTGTCTGCGTGGATCATTCTTGGGGAATATTTTCACTTTCCCTTAATTTTATTAGAGTTATTATAATGCCTCACAATAAAATGTACCGTTCCGTTCCCACTTGAATCGACTGATATTCTTTTGCTTAGAGATTAAAACTTGAAAATGCACCATTGTCGGCTTATGCAAAATTGATTTCATTTGTTTATATGCACGAAAGTCTAACTTGAAGAAGCATCTTTCAAGCTTATTTAACGTCTTTCAAGCCTAGAACTTCCTTTTGTATTCTATTCATTATGGTATCCGATCGCTCGTTCATATAGATTCTTATCGCAAGCTGAGCAGGAATGGCAACACAGTCTTATTTTCATTTAATTGGCAGTCGAGCAATATTTGGGACGCTATTCTTTATTTATAAGAGCAAATGTTCTTTATGTAAATAAATATTAACCTTATTTATTTTCGGATGATTCTATGTCCTTATTGTCAATTAAATTGGGAGTATTCACATTACCGTAACAGATGTAATAATATATTTTAGTGTTGAGGTCGCTCTATTTTAATTTATGATTATCGTTCTAGAGCTAAATTTCTACAGTCGAAGGGGTAGTAAATGCACAATTTTATTAAGACTTACACTAGAAGTTGAAAAAATGCAATATCTGGAAGCATTGATAGAGAATTAAGTAAACAGATGAAACGTGAAGATAATTAACAACATAAAAATAATAAATTGATAAATAATTTCAACGAGAACAAAGTCGCTCATTAGGAGCATGATCACTTGCAAGGGACAAGTTTACTACTTGACAACGTAATCTCGAAGTTATTGCCCAGCCATTTAAAAACTAAAGCTTCGTTTGCAGAGAATACCGTAGAAATAACAAGTACCTATGTAGACACATTTAAATAACAAGCACAAAAAAACTTTAAAAATCTGGCAACAAGTTGAGCGTAAAGCTTAGCGATTCTAGCAAAAGCACGTCGATCGGTGAATTTATATAATCAAAATCAGGCTGTTTGACACCCGTGTGTACGTGTAAAATCCTTAGATTTTTATCGTCAACATTTGAATAATTAAATTTTTTCGATCGATCGTTCTAGGCGTAAATATGAGCCAGTTCTGAAAAAATAGTCGATTCAAGAATGAGCTCCAAGCTTTTACAAATTGAGTCATATACAGTTTATATATAGATATATATTAAGGGTCATTAATTATTGCTTCGTACAACACTAAAAATATCTGCCAACATGAGCGTATGCGTTCAATGATAATGGAATAAATAGCCTAGCATACAATAAACTTCTACAATTTGGAAAACAATTAAATAAATAAACAATTTGTAAAACAAATGGCCCACACAATGAACATCGTTCCAGTGGAAGGCAGCCTGAGATGAGCATTGATGCATTGAACGTCAAGTTGTAAGCGACACGAGAAAATATTCGCTATGCAACGTCACGCACTCGCATCACCAAGCTGAGGTATAATATTATCAAGATAAATTATAATCTTACTTCGTAAGCAACTTCAAGCAATATTCTTTGCATTTACAACTTCGCAACGAGTCACCGAAATAATATCGTTCGTAGTAGAAGCTTCAACGTACGCATGCAATACAATAATGACTTATAATGACAACAATAAGAATTAATAAATCTAGTAACAGGTTGCGTGAGGATAATTTTTGACGAGCAACCTCGTCATAGACTCGATCGATGGTAAAGATGAGTTAATACATGGCCTGAAAGGCTGAAAGGTTATTTTATGTAACAACGCAAGTTAGTTACAATTTACAAATTAGAAAAATTAACGTATTTAAAAATATTGTTACATGATTTTAAAATATTGTTACATGATATTCTAATATTTTATGAACTCTGGGCTTAATTTGAAATGTTTTTTGAATGTGATACTGCACAAGGACCTGATTTTCTAGAAATGTAAACACAAATGAATGTTAACATAAATTTTGAGCTCTCAGTAAAAATTGAGTAATAAGGTCAAAAGCGTGCGATATTTTTCCAGTTCCACTCGAGCTTCATGGCGACTCGCGAATGTTCAGTAGCGACGAAAGCAGCCTTTGAACCATTGCCTGGAACTAAATTTTATGAAGGAGGGAACAGCGAGTTGCTCGTCTGCCTCTTAATCTTGTCCTTTTCGCGTTTTCTCTGCTGACGCTTCTTGTCCTAGAGGGATGAAGAAAAGTAATGAATGTATTTATTTAAGTTGAAATATTTGTCATACGAATAGAAAGTCAAGCAGGCAATGACAACGTTTGTTCTTCCTCGTTCTAAATAGTGGAGTGTGCAATTCTGATAAATTATACTAGACAAAAAAATTAGTGCTTCTATTCATTTTAAAACGTTAATATCTCCATTCTGGAGACATTTCAAGCAATTTTAAACAGACTAAACGTTAGTCCTCTTATTAAGATTCTATGAAGCAATAACTTTCTGTGCTTTAAACTAACTTAAATTTCTCAGTTTCTTCTAACATGCGGAAAAGTCCATCTTACTTGCTCTTTCTTGTATTGCAGAAAAGTTTCCTCGTCCGGAAAATCTTTCCGGTATTTTTTCTCAGCTCTCTGCCTCGGCTCCCCCCGCTTGTTGAGGGCAGGGTTCGGGGGCTGGTAATTCGAGTCGTCCTCTGGAAACAACCTTTCATCCATGCCGTGCGCCTGAAGTTCAGAAGTATTTAGCAAATATTTGGTATTGAGAGTCGATAGTCTTATAATTACACTGAGTTTGAGAATGAATAAGAGCATGCAACTCTGTGTATAGTTTATTTGACACGCATGTTAACTGTAGTAATTATCAACTAATTCGTCCAACACAGAAGTCACGTGAGGAAAGTCATTAGAGTGTATTTCACGTTTCTTATAATTAGCAAAAACCCAAATCTTTGAGTCATTAAATATTTAATAGTAACACTAATTAATTAGTTATACAGTTATACTCATAAGGCTTTTTGTCAATATAAATAAAACAATATACGTTATTCAGAAAGTACATAATAATTATGGTTTCGTAGTTCAGAACTGACATCATCGTGGTGCGAGCCGTGACTACTGGGAGAGCAGTCGTCGGAGTCGAGACCAGCAGCTTCTCCAGACGCCGCTCCGTAACAGCCCAATGGTGATTTTAGGTACGGGTCATACTGCAGAACAGGGAACTTCATCAAGCTATGAACATTGAAAATAATGTTATTACAGTCAAAAAGAAAACATTAACAGGAAAGTCAAGCTAGTAAAAGATCATATTTGTACTTTGTAGCAATGTAATAAATTAATTATTTTGCATAACAAGTTTCCATGTGTAACCAACGAATTTATAAAGCCTCTTCTCAACAAAGCAGAGTAGCCTAATTTCGGTCGAAACTAAATTTTGCAGTCATCAGAGATTTCGATTCGAGATCTCACCGTCTTTGCGTCTTCTTTAGAAGAAACAGCCAAAGTTTCAGTGGAAAAGTTCGTTTTAGAACCCATATTGTAGCTAGTCTGCCTAGTCATGTTTTGTGACGCATTTAAAATTTAAATTATACCTCTACAAGGCCTCTAATTGCTCTCAATCTATGAGCTTTTTTGAAATGGAAGCTTGGCAAAGCAGATGACATTTTTGCGAACGAGACACAATTCAGGACGAATTTTCCTCGATCCATTAAAAATGCAGCACGTTCAGCATTTAATCGATGCGTCATTCAGCGCAATTGTGTAGGTATCCAGGTAACAGGTTCGCTGACCTTCACTTCAAAACGTACCCTAAATCTGCAGTTCATCATTCATTAAAATAATATGGAAATTGATTTCTGTTTCAAGTTCTTCAAACACTTTGATTAATTTTTAAAACTAGTCACTTTTGAAGGATCATGCTTGCACCTGATGTAAAATAGACCGGTAATTTAATTGAACGATAATGTAGTACTGTCGGGTAACACGGCTTTACCCGCGGCTGACAACAGCACTGTGTCTGTGACTGTGAGGATATGGTAACAAAATAGCAGCGCCTGGCATCAATGCGACGTGTTTGTGACATGGCCGATCGAAGATTAAACGAACACGCGTTGTCGTTTCATCATGGAATAATTTTATTCCTTTAACAATTACCATCAAATTTCAGTATATCACTTCAAAATAGCATTAAGATATTATTTTAGCATTATGATGAATGAATGAATATAGTGATTGATTCTACCGCATTTGTTCAATTCGTACCGCACGCCCTCTTGTGGCGACCACCGAAACTCATTCAGACGACGAAAGTGAAGCTGGAATGATATTATTGAATATATTATTGATAATCATCAACGATCATTCCTCAACGTCTGAATTTAACTTGAGTGATTCAGAAAAAAACTCAGAAACGTGATGCTACTTCACCTGTTCTCATTTTTCTCTGTGTTGTATGTATAAATTACAGTCTAAATTAAAGACGTCGATCGGTGTAATCATATTTGTTATAGTGATTAGTGATATAGAATATTTTTTATTTTCTTTGATTCATTTCAGAAAAATTTACAAATTTACTCTTTTCAATGACTGATGTGTATTAATTATACGAATACTTCCGGACGCGATTTGTTTACCAAAGATCCATATCGGCTTGCGAAATTCATTTTCATAATAAAATAAACATCGGGAATTAAATTTAAAAAAATGAACAATGTCCCGAGCCCAGAATGTTGATTACAAACCCATTTGCCTGGTTTCTCTGTATGAATGAATTAAATATACTTACATCAAACGACTGTTCGTCAATTGTAGGGTTGATGCCCCTAAAATCTTCCAGGGTGGAGCGAGAACTTGAAGAAGATGCTGCATATGCTCCTAAGTCCGAATGAAAAGGAGATGTGGATTGACTTGGATATGCGTGCCCCTGATATGTGCTGCCCATGCCTTGTGCTGGGTCATAATAACCTGAATCTTGGTATTGAATATCTTGATATAAATGATTGTTTTCCATTTGATTGTTTCGGTCTGGGTGACTCATTTTGAAGGTAAAGAAATGTCCAGACTCTGGAAATAGCTCTGATCTAATATGTCGAAGTAATAAGCGAGTAAAAGTTGTACAGAGCGATCAATTTTCAATAGAGCACCCGTCGCTGACGAGAAATTCGAGTTAGTTTCAATAGAGCGCACGTCGCTGCAACTGAAGTTGTCATCTTCGATGGCCATCCTTTTATATCAGAAACCTTGACGAGTTTGCTCATAGAACGAAGGTCTACTGCCACGTCTCCTTCGGAACAGGGTCGTCTAAATTTCTATACTCGTTCAAAGAGGGAACGGAAGTCGTTTGAAGTGCTACAGTGCTGCCCGTGGCTCAGCGTTGAACTGGATTCGGTTTCTAAGGCAAGATTCATAATGGGCATGGCATTGTGATCATAATTTCAGCTTTTATTATTATTTTTAGGTGAGTTTAAGTACAGATTAATAGCTAAACTCGTTTCGTTCAGTTTTGGGAGGTCAGCTGTGAGGCCCCGCCTCAGCGATGGAGGGAGAGCGCTGCCATTCTCTCCAGTTGCCATGTCCGGGCCGCGGTACAGCCATTCTCTCCTGTTGCCATGTCCGGGCCGCGGTACGGCCATTCTCTCCTGTTGCCATGTCCGGGCCGCGGTACGGCCATTTTCTCCTGTTGCCATGTCCGGGCCGCGTTACGGCCATTTTCTCCTGTTGCCATGTCCGGGCCGTTCTATCTAAATGAGCATTTCATTCTATCGTTTAAATTATCAAAAATTGTATTGTAAAGATTCAATTTTACCTTCTGACTTTTTTTATTTACTGGCTACAACCATCGACAAAGAAAATCTAAATCATATTGCAATATGATTAAATTGGGTGATTTTTCAATATGATTGAAATTCAGTTTGGAATTAAATTTGAATTGCGAAAATCGCAATTGAAATTTGTCACACCGATAACTTATTAGCATGAATAAATATTGAAATGTACTGTTTATTCTTTATTATGTCCGGGATCATCCATGATCATTAGCGATTTGGAATGAAAGACGCATCATTGGCGTAAGATAGACGATCATTGAGTGACTCAGAGCATTTATCATTCCTTGAACCATCGAAATTCCAGGCAGCAAAGTTCATTTGGAAACTTGCGAGCTATTCAAGATGCTGATGCGTTTGAGTTCAACATATCGAATGAATTATGAAGAATTATTAAACCGATTTGATGGCATCCGATTCTTTCTAGCGAGGCTCATGCGAATTTGTATGGAAACCTTTACATTAATGGTAGGCAACAGCAACGTTAAAAGCATGTTGTCGTCTCTTGATGCGAACAGTTTCTGTGTTGAACAGGTCACAACAGCGGTAACAGTACGTAAGTTGTGCCTTTATTGGAGCAGTCTCTCTGTTGAACAGGTCACAACAGCGGTAACAGTATGTACGTTGTGCCTTTATGGAAACAGTCTCTCTGTTGAACAGGTCACAACAGCGGTAACAGTACGTAAGTTGTGCCTTCATGGGAACAGTCTCTCTGTTGAACAGGTCACAACAGCGGTAACAGTACGTAAGTTGTGCCTTTATGGGAACAGTCTCTCTGTTGAACAGGTCGCAACAGCAGCAACAGCATAGCGTTGGGTCTGAATTTGTTTGTATCATGAACCGTACGTGCTCAGGCTAGAAAACCGCCTCTATTGCCAAATTGTTCACCTGTCTACTCGAAAAATGTGTTATCATTCGATAAATTTATAGTTTTTAATATTTCACAATTAATTGAAAATTGTGTCGCTTCCCATTGCGCTCTTCTTAAGGTTAGAGAAAATATTATAAAGATCGCATCAAAATAAATTTAATGAGGTATTTCGTTATAATACTTTGCTAGTGAAAGCTGCTTGACGAGATAATCAAAACATTCCATTAATAAAAAATATAATTAAAATTAAACATTATGTAATTGAAATACCATTGATTTGTTCAAATGTCATGTGAGGGCAAAAAGGAATGATATTGAAAAATAAAAAGCTTGGGCGGTGTTGCATGTTATGGCGTGGTCTGGGAAGATCTTCTCAAAAATCTCGTTTTATTAGTGCAAGTTCTTTCAAAACTCATTCACATGAAAAATGGCATTTCATCTACATATTAATAATTTGATAATTCATTACTTAAATGGCTTCAGTTCTGTATATCAGTTGCAACAAGTATGCTAAAACTTATTCCTTTAAATGCATCGCCTTCCCTGCATAAGTTCAACACAGTTTAATGACGTCATAAAGTCGAGCAAAGTATAGCAGGAACTGACATGGTGCAATTCGCCGTTTATTCGAAACCTGTTCGTTTGTTGCCAGGGTGACGAAGTCGTAGTTCGCTCGAGAGTTGCTAGGCACGTGAACGCTTCCCGTGCGAGGTAAAGTGATGCAAGACCGCCCGCCTCCACGCCAAATAATGCGACGTATCACTCAACAAGTTATCGTGTAGTTCATTCAAGTGCACAAGCACGAAAAGTTTAGTTACCGGTTAGTTGGTAATAAAGTATTAGTAGAATAGTCATATTATTGTTTAAGGGAATAAATCAACGGGTTGTAAATGAAATTTCAAGATACAAATGTATTAACGCTAAATCTTAAAATGCTAAAACCTGTTGTGCACATTTCTGTTATGTTAAATAGAGGCAAAACACCTTCCAAAAAATAATAATACATTTATTATTTTATGGTATTTATTCCAATAAATAATTCGTATGAGATTTAGTTGCAAAATTAAAAGGCAAAGAGCCTATCCAAACTGGTTCCATACAAGTTAACAGTTAATTAAACCTCACTCAAGCTACTCAGACCAGATCTCACTCTAGCCACTCACACCAGATCTCATTCAAGCCACTCAGACCAGATCTCGCTCTAGCCACTCAGACCAGATCTCATTCAAGCCACTCAGACCAGATCTCACTCTAGCCACTCAGACCAGATCTCACTCTAGCCACTCAGACCAGATCTCATTCTAGCCACTCAGACCAGATCTCACTCTATCCTCCCTATGCCCTTATAGGGAATGAAAAGCTTGCTAGTTACGAGTTACTGGAATAATGATACGCTCGATTTATTAACTACGTTTTTTGCGATCAAGAGTTAGGGTCCTGAAAATAAACTGTAAATTTATTGTCGATAAACTGTACTGTTTGACACAACATCCATTGCGATGATAATAGAGAGCAATTACCGACTCGTGTGAAGTGAAAAGTCATGTATGAAAATATTAATAGCAAATTTAGAATTATAGATTCACATTTACAGGGATGAGACAAACGAAACTAGTGACTGGACAAATCGGAAACAAATGCGGCTCGGTAGAATGTCCAATGTCTGATCTGAATTGTCATTTTTTTCAATCACGCAAACAAAATCGTTTCAACGAAAGCATAGCGGTTTGAAAAAGTGCATCGGTGTTAGATTTGGAGCATATATGTAATACTTTAATATAATATACTGTAGAACTGCAATAGCCAATGGGTTTGGAAAATGTATTAACCACTTTTACAAATATAAGATTTGAATTAGAATTCATCAAGAAAACTTTGCATTTATCCGGTAATAGCTTTGGACGTATGAATATTAATCACAATAATATAGCAATCCTCCCCATAAAACTAAAAAAAATGTTCCTACGTATCTCCCCTGAGTAATGCAACTATGAGAGACAGTCTACACTTAGGAAAGCATTGTGTGTATCTTCTATCTAGGCTACTTCCGTTATATTTAAATTTTATGCTATTTCCAGACGTCTTGCAAACGCACACTTTACTGCTTCTCCTTCTTTTCTGGCGGGGGTGTCTGGGGGAGCGTAGCGTGGTGGGCCAATATGGTCATGTGTGCTTGGGCGAGTTGCTGCTGGGCCTGGTGAACAGCGGCCGTGGGGCCCACGGGCTGTAAAGGGCCTCCCACAGCAGCAGGGAGGTCGTCAGCGAGGGGGCCAGGGAACCGGTTAGGATTGATCACGTGTCCGAACTGGTTATGAACAGGTGCTATGTTCTGCGGGTTAAACAGCTGTTGCTGATGGTTAGTTTGTTGCTGCAGGGGTTGTTGCTGGGGGTGGTGGAAAAGCTGCATCTGGAAGTGATTCAGAGGCTGGTTTTGTTGATGTTCTGGAGGATGGTTGAATTGTTGTTGGGATTGCTGGTGCTGCGGTTGCTGGAAATGATGTTGGGTCTGCTGGAAGTGCTGAGGCTGCTGTTGCTGAGCTGGTCTGTGAGGGTCGTTGTGCTGGAGGAGGTTCACGTTGCTGTCGCTGCGAGGTTTGAGTTGCTGGTGCAGTTGCCTGATGGCTGCATTGATTGGCTCCTCAGGCAGGATGCCCGAGATGAAGGCGGGGGCTTGGGTGGCAGGGGCTGGCGAGTTGAACGAAACCTTCTGCAAGGAAACCGTGGAAACACGACGATGAAAGCACGACGAGATCGGCAACCCAGAAATATCAGGATAAAAATGTAAAAAAATTGGAGAACAATCAGCTCATGATAATTTTTTTTTAAATAAATGCACGTTTCATCGATCTGCAATGTCACGCAGTTCTTGTTCCAACATATGCAAGTTGTTCTGCATAAGCTCAGGGCGCTAAAATTCTTATTCATTCCGAAGCCAGTCTGCGACAACTATTGTTCACCAAAACTGAAACAAGCTAGGGTAAGATCTTAATTCAAAGTTGAGTTTAGGATAAACCGAGCTTAATTTGCCTTTTTGACTTGAATTAAATCCCACGCCCATAAGTACATGTATTAAATAAGTACGTACGAGTTACTTAATATATTTGAGGGATGTTAAGGAAAATTCATGTCAGATAATCTTACAGGCAAAATATTTGTGCGACTGTAGAAATGCTCCCAAGCAGCGACTCAATAGAATTCATTTTGTTTTTTTCTCTCAACCCGTTCAAGATTTTCTCATAGGAATCATTTGGACAACGCAACATTAATTAATATTGCATTGGATTAAACATCAGGAATATTCAGAGAAAAAGACTAAGTTGGTATGAGGTGCTAAGCATGGCGAGCGCACCTTGTGTCGGTAGCGCAATCTATCAATAAATTTCGCGCTGAATTAAACAGCAGGAATATTTCAACTAAACAGCAGGAAAATTTCAATTAAACAGCATGAATAGCCACAGCAAAGTACACAGTAATGTATATAGTGTTGAACAAGGCAAGCTCCCACCTTGTGGACGCTGGTGTCCGGCGCGGCGGCCGCCTTGGCCTGCAGGGCAGCGAACTGCTGCAGGAACTGCTGGGTGGCCGCTATCACGTTCTGGTCCTGGGGCAGGTGTGACTGTTGCAAACTCTGAAACATTACTTCCATGAGAACAAATATAAAAAAAATTGAACATCGAAATAGTGAATAATTAGAAACATTCCAGCAAAATTTGAACATTGAAATATTGAACAATTTGAAACATTCAAAGAAAATTTGAAGATTGAAATATTGAACAATTTGAAACATTCAAACAAAATTTGAACATTGAAATATTGAACAATTTGAAACATTCAAAGAAAATTTGAAGATTGAAATATTGAAAAATTTGAAACATTCAAATAAAATTTGAACATTGAAATATTGAACAATTTGAAACATTCAAACAAAATTTGAACATTGAAATATTGAAAAATTTGAAACATTCAAACAAAATTTGAACATTGAAATATTGAAGAATTTGAAACATTCAAACAAAATTTGAACATTGAAATATTGCACAATTTGAAACATTTAAACAAAATTTGAATGTTTCCCCTCATTCTCGATCATTGATATCAAAACGGGAATGACTTTTCGGACGATGGAAAAAATTGAGATTAATGCATTAACAATTTTTTTACATTGTCGCTCGAAGGTAAACAAAGCAGAAGCCTTGAAGATTGATTTTGACGAGATTCTTGAAGAATTTGTTAGAATCGTTTTTGGAAACTGAGATTTCGCAAGATCTAGTGACTAAAATGAAAATTAGTGTAACAGATAGACTTAAAAAATTGAGACTGGAAATAGATCATTGCCATTCTTGACTTAGAAACTGGGACTAATGCCACCTTCTAGTCAATTAAATGATGCAATAAAGGATTAACCCATACGTCGCGCCTTGAACTTGACAAAAAATCGCATACGTTTAAAGAAAGCGTGGATTCCCACTGCATCATTCAAATCGAATAATTTCTCTCTGACTTTGTGACGCTATAATAAGCAATAATAAGGTAGGGCAACACGAGCCACCAACTCCCGTAGGCAGGGTTGTTAGGTGCGGGCAGGGTTAAGCATTCACTAGGATTGCACCACGGTAGGAGCAGGTTATTTTAGCTTTCAATTAATATTTTTGTCTGCACTTCTAGTGGCGGCCATCAGGCATGACCACAAAAATATCAAATCAAGAATTTTTGGAATAAGTTCGCGTATTTTTCAGATTCAAACGTCCAAGCAAGAGTCAAATTAACTCCGTAGGTAAATAATTTTCTATTTGTTCATTTTATTTTTACGACCAAACACTGGAAACGAATCTTATTTATTAAAAATTAGGCTCAATCTAAACTGAATGTACTAAATCCGAAATGATTTCAAATCAACGAAACTTTTAACATTGGAACCGGTTTAAAATAATGCATAAAGCTATGTACCTGCAAGTGGTGATGCTGACCGAAGGTAACCCCCACCACACACGCCAATACCTGAAAAATTAAGGTTCTTTCAATATATGCAAATGTTGACCATGAGAAAAATAATGAGAAGGAAAGAGATTTTCACTAAATAATGGCAGTGTTTAGAGTCCTGTTTCTTCTTGAAGGCAAGTTTTACACGAGGTAGGTAAACAAATATCCTAAATGTAAAGAAAAACAACTGGGCGGGGCTTTACCAGTGTAAATGTGCTAGTAATGTAATTGCATAAAAAGGTTGTTATTTGAATTGATTACATCTTGAATATTCACGAAAGGATAAATATAGTTCCTCTTGGTCCCTTCTGTTTGCCATCGTCTTGTACCTCGTCTTCATTATAAGACTAATTGTATATCACAACACCTGTGGTGACAGTCACGGTCACCGGTCATGAAATCATTGTTTGAAATTTCAGTCCCTTGCGACAATGCGGCACTGTAGCACCAAGACGTTGCTTAACTTTGTTTTCAAGGCGGCAAAACATTCAGAAGCGCCTCAGATAATGCTTTAAATTTTAAGGTATATCGGGACGGTATTCACGATTCATATAATGATCAATATGATTATACCTACATAGATTGCTTAAGGAATACTGCTTTATAGCGCATTTTCTCATTTATGGAAAAAATGCACTATTGTGCTCGCCATGTCCGTCCGTCCGTCTGTCTGTCTGTCTGTCCGTCTGTCCGTCCGTCTGTCCGTGACCTCAAGTTTTCGTCGACGAGAAAATGCGCTCTCTGTCACTCACTGCAGTGAGTACTGAGTTATATTTTTTTATGATGTATGTCTGACGACTTCAACGGAACAATATAGAATCCTGCAGCTCATTAGGCGGTCCTCATTCACAGATCATTAGAAAATTTTTTGTTGTTAATAAAATAAATTTTAATGCAGCCTGTGACAAAATTTATTGACAACATTCTATACTGCGTATTCATTGGAAATAAACTAGAATGTTAAGCTGTAATTAAATTTGTTTTGTAATTAATTTTTTATTTGTTTTATGTTTTAAATTTGTTTGTTTAAAGCAGTTTTTATCCCAACAAATCAAATGCAAGCGTTTATTGGAGCTTGTAGGTGCAGCTCAGCATTTCCGCTTCACTGAAGCATCAATAGTTTTTTGTGGCCTTGCAGCGCTAACAATCGAAGCGCTTGCAGATGCATAATGAAATATTGCCTGAGTTCATTCACACATCTTGAAGTGAACTTGAATGTGAGCTTAAAAGGAGGTTAGCGGAAATTCTTTCGAGCCAACATGTGAGCATCGGGTTCGCTATGCAAGAAACTCTCAAACCCGCGTAACTGAGCTAAGAAATTTAGCCCACTTATTAGCCATAAAAAAATATAACTTAGTACTCACTGCAGTGAATGATAGAGAACGCATTTTCTCATCCGTCCGTGAAGTCACTGACAGACGGACGGACGGACGGAAATGACGAGCACAATAGCTCTTTTTCCATAAATGAGAAAATGCGCTAAAAACGGGGAACATAGATTTATTACATCGGCAGAATTATTGCTGATAATCGAAAGCCGTGACTAGTTTAGGGTATGGAAAAGCTTGGACCGTTCCAAGTCATTCATAAGTTTATGTTTACCGTTTATACTAATAATGTTTAACAGCAAGCAAAGACTATGTTAAATTAGTACTATACGAAGATACTTGAACCTTCTGATTGGGGAAATTTACGTAGACAAAACATGAACAACCGAATAGTGTAATTAATTTAACAAAATGGGAATGCAGATGAATGGAGGTAAGTGGTTGAAAATGTGACTAAAAATAATATTTCACAGATATCTGACTTACGTTCATCACTATTATGATAGCCATGACTGTTTACTTTGTCGGCACTCACGACACTGACGAAACATAGCGACGAGGCTGCTGATATATAAACGTGACCACGGCCCCCCCTCCCCGGGGACCGCCCCTCCCCTTCACGCACCCTCAGATGGTTTTGTTTTGGGGGATAGTTACAGGTATCTTTTGGGGGGATAGTTACAGGTATCTTTTGCAGGGAATGTTACAGGTATCTTTTGGGAGGATAGTTACAGGTATCTTTTGGGAGGATAGTTACAGGTATCTTTTGGGGGGATAGTTACAGGTATCTTTTGGGGGGATAGTTACAGGTATCTTTTGGGGGGAATGTTACAGGTATCTTTTCGGCTACACTGAATTATGTTTTAAAAAGTTCGAAAATGAATGCCAATGGTGGTTAACTCAACAAAAAATTTCGTGACATTAATAATTTTACTATTTGTTATCACGAGGAAAAATTATTATTACTTATCAAATTGCATTTCTGTACTTATTATCCTGAGAATAGCGATCCGTCTGGTTTTCGAGTCATGAACGCGGATGCACGGAGTGTATTATAAATTATCTAAAAGTTAGGGATAATTGATCAATTAATTCTTAATTTCGAAATGAAAACTTAACTTACGATCTGTTCTTGATTTCAATTTAAAATAGACAATTTGGCAAGTTAGATGCAAGTTTGAACATGCTTACTGCTGGTCACTGAACAACGCTGATCTCAAGCTTAGAAATTAAATTTTGTATAAATAAGTTTTAAGAAACTTAACGATGAAAAAATACTGCCAGGAACAGTTTTGCTCATTATTTGTAATTTATCAGCAATAATCACTGTAACCTTGACCTTTGAGAGTGCCGGACATCAACAGACACAAGTTTCTCTGTGACATTCATGCAGGTGGATGAAAATATAGAAATACTTGATTTGAAGATTTTATTGAGTAACTCGATCAAGAAGACATAGAAAATTACAGATCAAACCACACCAGGAATTAGGTTGCGAATTTCATTGACATTTGTTAAATTGTGTGATTCTTATAATAAATTTGATCAATATTAAGATAATTTACCTATTAAATTGTCATCGCAAACTGATATTAGAACAAAATTAGGCGCAAGCTTCCCGAGACTTTGTATTTTATTGTATGGGAAGTAGTTCTATCAGAGCTTCGTTAAGGCCGTTCTTTCCTTGTAACAGATAACCGGTAGCAATTCATGGCCGCCGTTTGGCCGACTCTCGTTTACTCTAGAAAGCGTATAAGTTCTGAACCCAGACAACTGGTCGCGCTCAAGCTCGGTTGGTCTTAGTTGCTTGAGCTTTCCCACGAGCCACAAAAAATCTCGTACGTGTAGGGTCATGAAATAAACTTTGGCGACACCTTGCATTGTTCCGCGAGACCCCGACCTATGCTGGTGCTAGCCGGCCTCCCTGGGGCCGTGGGGAGCTCAACTCGGTTAGGAGGCAGGATGTTTATTAGCAAAATTAATTATTCACTGAGTCCAGTGACTATTAATAATTCAGAGCATGGCGATTAGTAGAGTCTCGGAACCAAAGTTTAACTCCTAGACTCAATTATGTTAGTATTAATGTGCCAGCTGAATACTCACCGCATGCAGCCTCCTATACTCGATCACAAGCAATCCTAGTTGGCGAATGGGGAAAAGATATAAATTTGAGTCTAGTTAAAACGGGAAATGGACTCCATGTAAGCAACCGAGAATATTTCGCTTCTGAAAGAACCATATTCAAACGTTGAACTAAAATATGAAGATTGAGTAAAACTGATGATGTAGTAATTATTATATTTGACACATCTGTCCAGCACATGAGTTTGGTTAGTACTTAGTAGGAATAAGGTGGCGGCGAACAATGCCAAGCAAACTACTTGAATATGAAAAGGTTGAGGCCTGCAAATCCAACATACATGGGAATATTAACTCGTAAGATTACAAGTTAATGGAATTATAGCCTTTGAACAAAATCATTGACATTTTGGGCCTTTGCAGTTAGTGTCAATTGAACAGAGCAATGGCAAGGCCGTCATCGTGGGCGGTTTTTTCAAGGCCGTTTTCATCGTTTGAAACAGCACGCGTCGAGGAAATCCAGTAACGTTATTGTATGTAAGGTATTTCTCTCATGGTGTAGGATTAGTCCTGATTTACAAAAATACCCTGAGATTTACAAAAATAAATAAATAACATGACGCGTGTTTTAGGTCGTAAAAAATTCCAGTATTGTAACTTACGAAATACGCTTTCAACTGACTTGAGACAAACGACTTCAGCTTATAAAATGCGAAGATAGAGAGTAGGAAAGTCAGCCGCAGAGAGATTTGTGGTAGAAACATCTTTGGATTTGTACTCTAGCGTGTGAGGACAGTAAAACTCGGTTGTAAATATGTTGTGCTTTAATGCTGCGTGCGGGATGCGTCTATTGCGAGGGATAATTTCCCCAGAAAAACACTTTTTCCAAACATTCATGAGAATTGAAACTCATTGTACGCCTCTTGAATATTTAGTCGTTTTAAATGTTATATTGCATGAGGTTCTTCTTTTGAATGTGCATGTCTCTAATCATTATCAAATTACTATACTTTTCTAAGGAGATGATGCAGATTCATCATGATCAACAACAATTAACGGTGAATCCGGAGAATTCGTGAAGCTTGCGATGTCCCCAGTAGGTATTCGAATATTCTCAACGCTCTGTACATTGGAGCTACAATTATTAGCTCTATCTTGCGCCGCATAAGGCCTGCTGTCTTCGACGCTTCTTGCGCCATCGTTAACTGTTAAATGTTCACTTCTTGCTTCGGATTTCGACGGTAAAATATCTTGGGAACATTGCACCTGACGACTGAGAGGACTTGTAATATTGTGCCCTGAAAATTGGCATTCGTCAGCACCTAGGGCAGTCGTAGCCAGAACCTGTTGACGGTGGTTATAAGCATGGATCAATGGGCTCGTCACTGACCAGTCAAACGTCGGGCAGATTGGTTTTTCACTTATAGTCGGACGCATTGTTGAACTCAGAACGTCTCTGTGGAGGTTAGGCGGACTGAAAGTGAATGGTAAAACTACAGGGCACTGATAGGCACAGGCGGAACTGGGATTGATGCTCGTAACGCACAGCGGCGTCAGCCTCACCCACGGAGAGCTACTCTGAGCAATGGAGGCTTCCCTTCTTAGGCCTGGGAGAAAGACTTCTGGAAACTGGGATGTCGACATGTTTGGGAAAGCGCTTCTGTACGATGTTTGATTCCCGGTAATTCTTGGTAAGTTATCTTGTGAAGTGTTAACAGATTTCGATAGGTTGCAAGTTCCTGATTTCAACAGAGATGAAGCTGCTCGAGATTTGGTTTCGCACTCTGGCGCTCCGAGTCGTTCAGACCAGGTCACGTCAGCGCTGACCTTCAATTCTTTGCGCGTATGCGAAGTGACCGAATCCATGTCGTGCGGCTTAACCTTTGCGTAGGAATTCCACTGCTGCGTAGAGGAAATTGGTAAGGGCTGACATAGATTCTTGTGCGTTCTTGCAGCGAACTGTGCCGGCACACCTACGACTTGTGGACAACCATCAGTGGCATCATGACGATGAAGAGGAAAGTGAGCAGGCATCACTTGGTGAGGAGGATATGGTCTGAGAGGATTAAGAGGTGGGTTCAGGGATGAAATGAGAGGGTAGATTGCAGTGGGGCACACTGGCACAGCAGGACCTCCTCCTCCCGAGGGTGGTAAGAAGGGCGCTAAGACAGAAGTGTCCCAGTACGGCCAACTGAGGGCCATCCGCTGCCGCTTGTCCTTCATACGTCGGTTCTGGAACCACACCTGAGAAACGAAGTTTTATTTTTTGCGTCTTCAGAATGAGGATTGTCTAAAATCAGATGCCTTTTTCTGTCAATAGAATGAATGGAAGCAAAATAATGAATGAAAATAATTATGATAATAATAAAAATAACCATAAAAAAAATTATTAATTGAAAGAGCAGAGTTGTTTTTTCTCGACCGTGAGTCAAACTCTGACTATATGAATGTTTATTGTGTTTAAAGTTTGTGAAATTACAGGCTGTGCCAACATTAATTATAATTAGATGTGCAACAAAACTCTTCTACTTTGTATACATAATAAAACATGCGGGCACATATAACTATTAACCATCATTCACAGGGTAAAAGTGGCCAATTAAAGAACCTGTAAATTCGTTTGGTAAAACCCTGCTACTTCTGTAAAAGATATGAATATAACTCTGATAACTGCCTACATACCTCTCAATTACACATTATTCGTGTCATATTTGCGAGCAAAAATCACAAACCTGCGTCTCTTTTATCCCCATGATTATCACCTCGACTATCGGTACCATTAATGCCATGCAGGGGTCAAATGGTATTTCTAGCCAAGTCTTCTGCATACCAACTCGACTCATCGATCACTAGGATATAATTAAGTTAGCAACGCAGAAAGTTTGATAATTTGTTTATGATCTATATATGGAGGGCTAAGTTTTGAAAATATTTTCTAAGTGATAATCAGGACTGGATAGGTTTTCACAATCATTTTAGCTCCCATAATGTGATTCATACCTGAAATTACATGTCCTTCTTCTAAACTATCTGCAGAGTTCACAACGCATACGGATGTTCAAATCAACTCTGACCAGAAGATATATGTGGGCATTCAAATTCAAACAACTTTCGTGTTAGAATTAGTGAAAATTCAATTCGTTTTCTTAACTGATTCCGGTCAGAGAAAAGTTTTTATAATAAATACTTTTAGCTCTTAGTTTGGAATCGAAATTTCTGTAAATATTTGCGATACGGTCAACGAATGCGAAGAATAATCATCAATATTAACAATGCCTTCATCCGATCCAAAGAATTTTCACCAGTTAGATGCTATATATGATCAACTTCAATGGTTGTTTGTCAATATTTGTGATGAGATGGTCAGTCGTATAACATTTTGCTAATCTGAACCTGCCCTGACAAAATTTTCGGAGTACATACTGTAAGCTTCTACTTAAGGCTTGCTAAAGTGGCGCTAAAGTTCTTAGGACGAACCTTAATGTTGGTTCGTCTTAACGAACCACCATTCTTAATGATAGTTCGTCTTAACGAACCACCATTCTTAATGATGGTTCGTCTTAACGAACCACCATTCTTAATAGTGGTTCGTCTTAACGAACCACCATTCTTAATGGTGGTTTGTTAAGGTCTAATGTTGGTTCGTCTTAACGAACCACCATTCTTAATGATGGTTCGTCTTAACGACGCACCTTAATGGTTGCCTCTGGTAGTCCCAGCACGGCAGCGAGGTGCCCCCGGCGCGGTCGCGACACGTAGTTCTCCCTCAGGAACTCCGTCTCCAGCCGCCCCACCTGCTCACGCGTGAACGCCGTCCGGTACCTGCAACACATCCACTCACAACAATTAATATATCATATTGTCCAATTAGTTACGCTCTTTATCGCCCACAGTGCTAGCAGTTTCAATAACAACCTAGCCCTTTTGCCGGGCTAGGGTGACCCACGCAGGGAAAATTTTTCATTGCTAACTGGACCAAGTCTCGCTCATTACTCATAATAAACGTGTCTGCTGCCCAGTCCAATTTTTATATATAAATAAATATAACGATTGCTGCTACTAAGTAGTTTCATCAACGAGTGTGCTGTATAATTATATTTACTAATATTATTTACTTTATATTTAGTTGCTGAAACATCTTAAATAAATATATGCAACTTCTTTATTAAATAAGAAGTTTTCTAATAATTTAATATGTATATAATATCTGTTAACATATTTGTTAGTTTATTGCGTCTACTCGATCGATCGTTGCCAATAATTGTAATTGATAATGAACTAGACAATTTTTACTTTCATTGCATAGTTAGATGACTTAGATCACCATTTTAAATTAGCAACCGACTAGAGAACCGTGAACAAGGATCACCGTCGCACCTCCGAGAAGCGGACAGGTCCAGCGATGAGTCTGGCGTCGTCGCCGTGACCGAAGACGTGCTGGAGTCCGCCATCTTCTTCGTTAGCTCAACTCGTTAGCTTTATTTTTGGCAGCGTCAACTTCGTCAGATTTAATTTCCGTTAGTGCTAATTTTGCCAGTTTAACTTGTCAACTTCAACTTCGTCAGCTTAACTCATCAGCATAAGTCGACAGCTTGATTTTCCGGCAGCGTCAACTTCGTCAGCTCAATTTTTGAACTTTATTTTTCGGTAGCTACAATTTCGTCAGCTCATCTTCGGAGTAGAGTTACACACCAATGAATTAGAGAGCTTTCGATAGAGCAGCAGTGCAGGATGTTTGACCAAAAATTGCATAATTTAATTATATTATTGAATAATATTCAGGTCGGTTAAGAGCGCTTGATTAAGAAGGAACTAAAAAGATGTTACAAAATGTAAATATTACCGACAAGTTATATTCTGAACGAAGAGTATGATTGCCAGGCTGAAATCTTAACAGAACGGTGGGCGGAAGATATCAGCTCAAGGGCAAAATTTCATCTAAGTTCGATATTTCTAAAATCTAATTATCACTTGCGTGGAAAACAACGTACACTTGTAATATGTGATTGACATTCTTGATCAATAGCAGGTTGGTTGAAATTTTAAATATTCTTGAAATTTTCAGTTCTTGGTAGCCAGTTTTTCTGAATAGATTCCTTGTGTTTTCCGACGTACGCTATTTTTATTCTAGAAAATTAATTATGTCAATACTTCTCCATGTGCTTTATTAAAGGAACTTTCACTTCTGAATGTCACAGCATCCCCAGAAATATTTGGTCTGGTAACCTGTAATTAAGTGAGCACATCGTTGTACGTACGTAACAAATTTAGAAAAAAAAAACACATTTGGGTTACGCTTAGTTCTTATTATGGAGCAAACATTTAATACAGTACAGTAGGTACTATGCAAGCAATATGTCTATCTCAAATTCTGCTACCGCAGTTCTCCAATTCATGTTTCCCCATTTTTCTACGAAGATCTATTGAATGCCGTCTCTCTTTGAACCTTCCGTGGCGTTGCTGCCGCTTTCGTCGTCCCTCGTACGAAACTGCAGCGATTTCGTTCACTGCACCACAAGCCTGATCAGATGCACACACCATCATCACTTCTGAACATCGTTGATTGGTGAACACGTTTGTTATTTTCACTTACTGCCTTGCAGCTTCCCATGCAAGATTAGAGCTCGAGTCTGGAGTACACACACGGCCCACTCAGGAAACTCAGATTTGAACGACAAACTCGTCAACCAATAGGAAGACGAGCTGGGAGCTGGAGACGAGGGAAAGTATATTTAGGATAGCTTGCCCTCAGTTTCCTGGCCAATGAGAGGACAGAGATATTGATCGCAGCCTCAGACGTGCACCAATAGTAGAGCGCCAAGCTCTTCCATGACCATCCTTCTACTCAATTTTCCAGCAACATTGGTTGGATCACTAAGCTGTTCAATTTAGGGGGTAATCTGTACAAATGAACCATGATTACCTTAACGTCCAACAGAGGCAAGGAGTCCAGCAGAGCGCTCGCTATTCAAAGCCTTCGACATTTCTGTCGTTGAGCTTATTTTTCCGTCCGTTATCGTTCTTTGCAAGATTGTTCCTGAGATTCAGTCCTGATTCTTTCATGCGAAAGTAAAAAAAAGAAAATAAAATCATGTTTGCCAGCAGATGATGCTTGGCTTTCTACCTAATTATTTCCCTCTAAAATTTGTGCGATTCTTCCTTCAAAAGTTCTGCAGTTTGTCTGAAAGTTTTCTCATGAAAATTTAATCAAGATATTAAATTCCAACGAAAAAAACGTAGCGTAGATGGATCACTTAAACAAATTCATTTATTTTACAAATTTAAATACAAAGCAAAGATAGTCTTCGGAATCTTGAATAATTGGGTTATCTTTTGTTATCTCGTCATATCCGGACTCGAATTTTCTAATATCGTGAGGCAAAGATTCAATTTACCGTGTTTGGATAGCGTCAGGCCTAATTTAAATTTACAATTTATCAATGATTGCTTCATATTCAACGCCAGCAAATGTCACTACCTTTCAAAAACTTGGGGTCACCCAAAAATTTTTGCGAATTTATGTTTTCCATATAAACTCACACTTAGTCACCACGGCTCGCTGAAAAATGACTAGAAAATAAAGTCAATACTTTGACAAGATTAAAAATAATGACTTTTTAAAAGAAAAGATTTTTTTTTTGCCAAGGCATTTGACAGTGTCCCACATGAGCGGCTGTTGCGTAAATTGAAGTCTTTGGGGATTGAGTGTAACGTACTCAAATGGATCAGAGATTTTCTAGTAGGGAGACGACAACGTGTCAGTATTAATGGGTCCGTTTCAGACTGGGCTTCAGTGCGCAGCGGCGTGCCACAAGGAAGCGTTCTTGGGCCTATTCTATTCGTTGCGTTTATAAACGATCTGCCAGAAGCTGTGTCTAGCGTTTGCTCGATGTATGCTGACGACACAAAAATTTATAATACAGTGAAGAATACGTCGCAAAAAGTACAGTAAATAAGTCCAGCAGCTTCTCAATCAATCGTCAGCTATGGAAAGATCGGGTTCCAAAGGCCGGATCCCTTGTGAATCAAGTCACGAAAAGTTCAAGAATCGGCAACAGGCCATGGGCCTATTTCTTCAGCGCCGACACTTCTATTCTATTCTATTCTATAATAACAATAAAATACCTTAATGACATCCAGCATCCGCTTCCTCACAGTAGATGTTGCACTGGCGTTTTGCGGGTACAATTCAATGAAGATCCCAGTTGACTCTGCGCATGAGGCGTCAGTTTCTCACACTAGAGACTAATGTACTTATGTTCTTGCTATAGTAGTGCAACGCGGCCAACGCCTTTTTTATACTTTGGTGAGAGCCTGTATGTGCTGTCCTCTGAAGGGAGTAGGAAATTATAAAAAGGAAATCTTCTATTTCTTAGCGATTCCTCGCAAGGAATAACCTTCATTTATAAGAATCAGGAATTGGCAATAGAGTTTCTGACACAAGTCAGAAGAGAGTTTAATTGACCCCACAAAAGTGATGACCCAGAAAGTTCAATCTGATCAAGTTAAGGCCAGTTTTGTACCTTCTGCAATGCGCTAGACTGTTTTAAGATGTTTGAATATGATTGCACTAGGATTTTATAGTCATCAATTAGCTTTCTGAGTCAGCGAGCAAACATATTGTACCATAAGAACCCTGCAGTGATAATTGCTAAAAATTGGCCTCTATACAACCATGTGGATATTGCTTCGAAAACCATACATGTGCAGCTAGAATAATCATTTAACACCTTAACAATGTATAGAGTTGTATTTATTTAAAGTTAGGACCAGCATGATGTTATCTGCACTGGAAAGTACAGTTCTTTGCCATAACAAATAATGACATTGCAATGTGACCCCCAATCTTATGAACGGTAGCGAAGGTAGCGGCGCTATACGGTTGTCTGCTAGGGACAACTTTCATGCCATTATGACCCGGGGATTAGACTCCGCTACATTAAGTGATGATTAAAATATGAGACTCGAGAAGATGCTCAGCACAGGGCGTGCTCAATCCCAGGTCAATCAGCAGCGTCGAGCGCTGAGTGTCAGTAACGAGGAGTTAACGTGATACTGGCGGGGCAGTGTCGCCCTGGGGACCACGTCGCTGGGAGGGCTGTTACCGGGGCCTGCCTGGTGAGAGGGTGTTGTGAGGGGTGTTGATGTGAGGGTGTTGATGTGAGGGTGTTGATGTGAGGGTGTTGATGTGAGGGTGTTGATGTGAGGGGTGTTATATATTTAAGAGCTGGTCTAGAATGGCAATGTGTGGCTGGGGCTATGAAGGATTAAGGGAAGGATTGGACAGCAGCATTGCGTCACTTATTAAAAATCTTTGACTTGGATACGATTAAATTTTTACGCGGCTGTTGTATTGCTGCTTGGCGCAACGGCTGCTGCTCTTGTTGCTGCTTAGCGCAACAGATGTTGCTGCAGTTGCTGTTTGGCGCAACAACTGCTGCTGTTGATGCTGTTTGGCGCAACAACTGCTGCAGTTGTTTCTGCTTGGCCCAACAGAAGCTGCTGTTGTTGCTCTTTGGCGCAACAACTGCTGCTGTTTCTTTCTGTTAGCGCAACGGTTGCTGTGGTTGCGCCAGTCTCAGTTCTTGTATCAATTTCTCGTGCAGCAGCTCTGCGTGTCCCCCGGGCCTCATTACGCTCGACCTCCCCTCACTTCCAGCCTCTCCCCTTCCCTTTGCCCCCAATTTTGACTCTCCCTACTCTCCCCTCTTCTTTTTAACACACTTTTCAACCTGCACTTTCCTCCTCTTTTAAACACCAGGTTCCCTCCTGCTTCCCTTCATTTTTAGCACCCCTTCTTCCTACTCCCGTCCTATTTCTAACTGCACCGCTTATCTTCCTGCTCTTCACTCCTATTTTTCACACCACTTTTCTTCCTTCTCTTCTCGCTTGTTTTCAACACCGCAACTCTCAAATTCACCACTTCTTTCCTTTAAGTTGATCTCATCATCGCGCAACATCAGCAAACATGTATTAACTATAGAGCACTCGTGTCGAGAAGTTCAAGACAAAAGGTCTCGACTAAAATGAACATAGCATTGGCAGCGGGAAGAAGAACATGGGTATTCAAGCCGTGTGTAACTTTTATTATATTTAAATTATTTTATATGTGGATTAATCTCGATTCTTGTAAGGCAATGCAACAATCAATAATAACGTGCATTGTTAATAAAAAAATCAAACTAAAGGTAAGAGCAAAAATTGCATCTACTTGACTGCTGATTTTAGTTTCGTGGTCGCGTGCGCAAATCACATCTTGTCTTCCTTGTGCGCATTAATTGTGACTGCAGGTGCTTGCTTTACCTTTGCATTTAAATAATTTCTTATACATACATGTTTCTGTGAAGACTTTCCGCAGAACTAAAGTTGAGTGCAAGTGATAGTATGACTATTTATTGCTGCCTCTAAGTCCATCGTTACTGGGCTCGTATATAGGAGGCGAAACGTGCTG